TCACACCTTGTTGTAAATGAACACAAGTAGGTTTTATGCAGTTTGGACCCTACAAGCTGGTGCTGAGTCCTTGCAGGGCTGAGCAATGCCCTTGCTGAACAGGGCACCATGAGAAAAGACACATCCATTTAACTGCCTCCCACATGCGCTGCAGCTTACAGTCTGTGCAGAAAGGGCTGGGAGATGCAAGTGGAGGAAGAGCCAGTGGTGTGATGTGGCTGCAAAAAAGGCAAATGCAATCTCAGGCTGCATCTGCAGACACACCGTTTCTGAACAATAGGAAGTAAATTGTCCACCATAGTCTGTGCTGCTCAGATCACACCTCAAAGGCAGTGCCCAGTCCTGGATGCTACACTTTGAAAGGGTTCAGATGCACTGAGATGAGTTCAGAGAAGGGCAGCCGAGGGGCCCAAGGTCTAGACATCCTGTCCTTTGAGGAAGGATGGTATGTTCTGGTACGTCCAACCCTGAAGGCTGAGGGGGAACATGCCAGCACTTTTCAGGACCCCTGTCGGGTGCACAAAAGAAGGCTGCATAGTCCAAGGTGCAGGAGATGAAGGTCTGTCGGGGCTTCAGTGACAGGAAGGCAAATTTTGGCAGAATCTCAGGAAGGACTTCTGAAGAGTCCGAGCCGTTGGACTATAGGATCCTGAAACGCAGGTGAGCTCTCTGTTGCTAGAGGTATCCAGGAGGAAGCCGAATCCCAAGACTGGATTCCTGCACTTAGCAAGCAGCTCGGACTCGAGGGCTGCTGTGGTCCCCTTGACTTTGCTAGGATTTTTGCGAACCCTTTGGACAGTTTTCTCAGCTCAACATCTTTGTCCTAATGGTTTCCCCAGGAGAGAGCTGCCCAGACCAACATATCGACTTCCTTAATGAGGGGGCAGAAAAACAGGCAGCTTCTGGCTTGACAGATGACATCCAAGGCTGCCTGTGAGTGCTATGATTATCAGCCACCTGGGGTGAGGGGGAAATTTAAAAAGTGAAAAAAAGTGGGGGAGACCACTTGTGAGAGAATACCAATGGGTGTGTACTTCTGATGTGGACTTGGGGGTTACAGTTCTGATGTGGTAGAAGTCACCTTCAGATGTTCCTATTGAAATCAGCCTTTTATTCAGAACCATGGGGGACTGGACCATAACATTTCATAAAGGACCACAGGGGAAAATCTCCTTAGAAGCAATGCAGAACCATTGCAGCCACCCAAATGAAGGAAGGCAGTTTCTTCTGTTCTCATTTAAATATGAGTCATATAAAAGAAGCCTGGGATCTTACATTATTGTTAGCAGACAGACTAGCAGTGCTGTTACTGAGAAGAAAATTACTGCATATTGCACACAAATGATGCACCTCTGTAAGGAGAGGCGGCAGTGAAGGGGCAGGTTTCGCAAGGGCTTTCCAAAGGGCCAGGGGATAAATCACCTGGAAGGAAATTCCAGAGCTCTGTCACACCATCAAGGGCCCCCATCACTTGCATTTGGCAGCCTAACTCATTTGGCATCTTTACGCAGCAAGTACTCAGGAGACCATTCCCTCCAGAAGGAGGCAGATGCATGCACACTGTTCAAAGCTTCCCTTGCCCTTTATTCAGAACCATGAGGACTGGAATCTTAGTTTTTAGCAGAAGGACCACAGCTCAGTGGCCAAGCCTCTGCTTTTCATGCAGAAAGTCCCCGTTTGAGCCTTGGCTTCTCCAGATGGAGCTAAGAAAATTCCTGGCTGAAACCTGGGCTAGCCATCAGCAAGGGACCCCTGGAGCAGCTCCTGGCATTCCTGTGCTAACTGCTTCAGCTAGTTTCTAGGGAGCAGCCATGGTCCTGTGCAGTTTCCTGGGAGTAAGCCCCACTGTACTTCATTTCTGAATGTGTCTGCTCAACTTGTAACTGAAGTCTTGCTTTAACCCAAGTTCACTTGCCACCTGAGAGTACTGGTGTGGAAATGCAAACTGTTCTTCAGAGAAACATTCCTGTTGAACTGCGAGTGTGACAGTCACTGCTTGATCCCTTTCTTGGCCCAGCTTCCACTATCCTAATTGGCTGCAAGCAGGACTGAAACCTGAAAGCTTCTTTATCACCCCATCTCCTTGCCAGAACAAGGCGGCCATCGATCACTTTGGCCACTGCCCCTCCCTTGAGAGGTCCTGCGGCTGCATCTCACCGTGCCCCTTGCACTGTGCCCCATGGCGGCATTCCTGCGGCTGTGTTTGGGTCCGCAGTGTCTGTTTTCTGGCACTGTGCTGGCTTTCTTTCATACTGTCCTGCACATTTTGAATGGAATACTTTTGCCCTTGACATCTTGCCATGTCTGAGTTTCTTACTGGATGCAGGCTTTGTTTTATCTATGGAATGCCTCACCCACCTTGGAAACAAGTATCAGGAGATAGCAGTGTTGCTAAACTACCTTAGTTCCCTGGTTGATGGTTTCACCCCTGCCCAAAAAACAAAACAAAACAAACTGAAACCAAGGCAGTTGGAATGGAGGATATCTCAACATTTTAATCTTTAAACCTCATATCTCTGGCTAACTGTAACCTTCAGCACCAGCATAAAAATGCCAACCAACCACTGGTGGCGGAGCTCTTTCAAGCTGGCCTTTTTGGTCATGGCCTTCCAGCTGTGGAATTCTCTCCTCAGCAAGGCACGCGGGGGCCAAGCCAATGCTGCTGTCCTTTGATGTCTGGTTAAGACAACCTTGGCCATAGAAGATTAGGTTTCAATCAGGTCTCAAATGTTTCTTGTTGAGTGTTCAAAATGCCTTTTAGACAAATGTCTTCCTCTTCCCGCTCTGTTGTATGCATGCAAGAGACTTGCAGGAGTGACTGAGCCTCCCAATCCGGGTGCAGTCTACTGCCAAGAAGCACACAGTGGAAAGGACAGAAACATCTGGTGGATGGAGGGAGGAATCCAGGTGATCATGGTCAGCAGCACAATACTGGATTTGGTGGGCCTTTGTCCGAAAAAAGCCTTTGTTTTCTTCCCTTTTGGTATGCCAATTGAAAACAAAATATTCTTTGCTTTGTATAATGCTGCTCTCTGGTGGTTGTAAGTAAACCTTCCTTCCTTCACTGAGTCATTGAACATTTTTAAAAATTCACTGAAGGACAGAACAAGGCAATCCACAAAATGAGTAAGCACAATTCATATCTTTTCTTCATTTGAAAGACTGAAAAGATATTCCACAGCCTCAAGCAAATCCACTGATTGCCAGGGTGCTTTCTATTTGGCAATAGAAGGTAAATGGACTGAGGACATTTGGATGCAAGTGTGAAACGAGTGACAACCAGAAATCCTCATTTATTTATTTATTACATTTTTATACTGCCCCTATAGGAACAATTTTAAGGTGTCTAACAGGAAATACATAACAGAACTCTGTTGTTGTTGTTGTTGTTGCTAGTCACGAAGTCGTGTCTGACCCATCGCGACCCCATGGACAACATTCCTCCAGGCCCCCCTGTCCTCCACCATCCCCCAGAGTCCACTTAAGCTCACACCAACTGCCCCAGTGACCCCATCCAGCCACCTCATCCTCTGCCGTCCCCTTCTTCCTTTGCCCTCAATTGTTCCCAGCATCAGGCTCTTCTCCAGGGAGTCCTTCTTTCTCATTAGGTGGCCAAAGTATTTGAGTTTCATCTTCAGTATCTGGCCTTCTAAAGAGCAGTCAAGGTTGATCTCCTCCAGGACTGACCGGTTGGATCGCCTTGTGGTCCAAGGGACTTGCAGGAGTCTCCTCCAGCACCGCAATTCAAAGGCCTCAATCCTTCGGCGCTCAGGCTTCCTCTAGGCCTTCCCAAATGTTTTTTATGGCATTATTTTGGAAGGTCAGCCAAGGTCACTGTCCAAGCCTCTGTGGAATGCCATGGGAATGATCTCTCAGGAACCCTGCAGACACTGATGCTGGAAGGAGCACGTGTAGGGCCCTGCAGATTTTGTGGCACTCCCAGTCTGGGGGTGGATGGCGACCTCAACCCCTGGGAGCCGCCACAATCCACTGATGTTGCTCTGATGGTCCAGAGGGGAAAAGGGAGTACCCCCTTCTTGTGCAATGGAGTGGCTCACAGGCGAGTTTGCTCCCATCATCCAGCAGTCTTGCTTTCCTACCATTATGCCCTTGGGATGGAGGAACACGTTTTTTATCCTTGGAATGGAGGAGGGGGTTGGTGGCCCTGGCAGGCTCACATGCTCTGCCACACTCTGACTTCCCTGTTCTCTCTGAGCTTACTTGCAATCCCCGTATTAGCTGATGGGCAATTAATTTTTTCAGCAGTAAATTTATTCCCTGTTGAAATGTGAAGTATTTGAGTATGGCTCAGCCTCAAGCAGACCATTAGGACCACTGGCTTTCCAAGGGACCTGATCCTGGTGGAGAACAAATTGTGGATATAGATTCCCCCAGCTGCCTAAAGTTTTGGACACTTCTTCTGGTCATGGCTTGAGTGGCAGGGACAAGGGCAGCCAGGCTTCAAAATTTGTTGTGCTTCTTTCTAGCAGGAGGGAATCCCAACAGGATGTCTCCTGCCTCCATTTCCACCCTTCATCCTTGATAAGATCGCTCTGTCTACAGCTGATGAACATTTGGGTGCTAGAAGATAGAGTTACACCAGCCAGCAAGTGTGGTCTGACCAACACTGATCTTTGCTTGCCATCACTGCAGAAGGCAGCCATTCACAGACTGTTCTGTGACCCGCATACCCTGGCACTTGAACTCAGCCAGTTCTGGGCAGCTTGCCCTAGCAACTGGTTAAAGTGGGACAAAGCAAGCACTCCTGGGCTATATCTGAGAGGGACCTGAGAAAACCTCGGGCCTCTCCACTAACCTGTCTGGAAATACTTTGACATGTGCCGTTGTTAATCTATTGACGGAAATACCCAGATATGCACAGTTGTTAATCTATAGCTTATACAATGGAAAGACCCTGTGCATGTGCAGTGAAAGCTAACTATTAGCCTGTAAGAGGCCATGCCCAACCCTTTGCTTTCAGTCAGGTCCGCTTTTCCCACAAGCCTCACTGCTGACCCATCTTGCATGCAAAATAAGCCATTCAGGTCTCCTCTGGACATTGCTTCCCTTTTTTCCTGACAATTGAGGCTCTCCAGGAAAAAGACCAAGGGCATTTTTGCAACAGTATCATGTACAAAAATATCCCCTCCCCAATTATTTCATGCAAAAAAAAAAAACCCTCAGCTCATTTCTGACTGTCTGGGAAAGAGGCATGTTGCTAAGTGAGCTGATCCAGGCGCTGTAACCGTCCACAGTCCGGGCTAGGCCAGGCTACTTGCTCTGTCCTCCAACTGCTGCAGGGTTTGCATCAGCGACTGCAGCTGCCCAGCTTGGCGTTGGCTCATCTGGCTGATCTGCATTTCCAGCTGGCGCACCTGTGCCTCCCGTTTCTTGCGCGCATTCCAGTAGGCAAGCACCAAAGCTCTGCAGTGAGAAAAATGCACGCAGGTTCAGGACCAGAGCGGGCATGTATTACAACACACCATCCTGATTCCTGGTCAGAAAAAATTGAGGGAGCCCAGTGTTTGTCTCATTACTCTAAGCACCTTGCTGGATCAAACCAAATGGGTCATCAGGTCCTGTGTCATCAGCCTGCTATGAATTTATCTTGCCCTTTGTAGCTGGAGCAAAGCAAACACATTCCCTTGGATCAGGGCCCAGAGGGGAACCAGCTCTTGCAGCAGGAGGCGGGACACCCCCAAAGGTTACCTGTGTGCCTTGAAAAATTTGCTGGTTAGCTCCATCTGCTGTGTCTCCTGGGCCCGGCAATCTTGGCTTCTTTCCTCCAGGTCAATGAGAAGGGAAAAGACCTGATCTTTCAGTTCCCTGTTCCTACAGTTGATGCCAAAGGAGAAATAATAGAGATACAGAGGAATTTTGTTTGTGCTCCCAAAACAGTTGTGCAAGCCCCATTCTTAACCGCAAATGCTAATGCAGAACACATTCCCTGAAAAGGTTAACCAATTCACAGACATGTACTTGCTTTTTAAAAATGCACCAATATCAAAGGAAGATGCTGTTAGAAATGGCTCAATTTTAAAAAATCTTCAACTCCCAGGTTCTTTGGTGCAACTTTGAAAAAAATGCTCACATTTCGGCACAATTTTTCTGCTTGATTCTGTCAGATGTGTGTAATTTTCCCATTTGTACAGGCTAAAGTATGGTTGATTGCATGTGCAGAAATCAAAGGAGAGAGAAGCATCTCTCTCCTTTGCTAGATAAATTCAATGCTAGATAAATTCAAAACAAAGCATCAAACAAATGCTAGATAATTCAATTTGATGCTTGGAGAATTTGGGCTTGCTTGCCCATCCCTAGACTAAAATGGGTTTTCTCATCTGCTGCCATGGAGCAGAAACCAAAAAGAAATACAGGATGCTAGTCCTCATGGTTTTGGATGCTGAACAAATGAAGCTGTCAAGCCAGACCAATTTTCCATCTTGCTCCAGATTGCCCACCCCAGCCTTCCTTGTCATTCTGGACAAGAGTTCCCAGCATTCCTGGCTGTGGCTGATGGAATTTGGTTCAAACCATCTGGAGGACAACAGGTTGCAGGGTCAGAGGGGGTCTTTCCCAGCCCTGCCTGGAATGGAAAGAGCAAACTTCTCCATGCAAAACAGAGTCACTTAGCTATGACCATTTGTTACAAACAAAGCAAGCCTCCAGTCCTCATGATTCTGAATAAAAAGCCAACTTAAGCAGAAACAGAGGAAGCTGAGTCTGATCCTGGATCTCCAGGATGCTTGACACTGACCAGCAGCAGCAGCAACCATCAGAAAGGGGGCTGTGTGCCTGCCCACTCTGCCACGAATCAGGTACCGGGAAGAACTAAATGAGAGGTCCACAGGGAAGAAGCCCAAGTGTGAGAGACAGAAGCAGGATATCCTGCGCCTGCCAGATGAGAAAGAAGCAGGGTCTGTTGCAGAGGGCCCCCATGCTTACCTGCTCAGATGGAATAATCCACAGTGTGGAAACATTTCAAGGTGACCAGGTGAAGTTCCTTGGTCCAAGAAAGAGGGGGCATTTCAGAACTGGGGGAAGGCAAACAGGGGAGTGCCTTAGCCCATCGGGGTGGCAGGTGAGGCATCTGGCACTCCTGCGGTCAAGCAGCCAGAGCCACGGGGCAGGGAGCCACGCTCTTTTTTGGTGGGCAGGTGTTGGTCAGATGTGGGCAGAGGCTTCTGCCAGCTCCCAAAGAGAACGCCGCCTTGACTGGTGCCCCTTTGCAGCTGCTGCGCTTTAATGCAAGCTTTGTGCTTCTGAAGTCTCCGCTGAGTCTGCTGGAGAGGAAGCGGGGAGGGCCTGCTCCATGGGAAGCACCCATCTTTCCAGCATTCTCGCTTGTTGCAGCAGCCCATTCTGAGTTGAGGAAAGGCTCTTGCAAAAACGATGCCTTTCTTACTCTCCTTGTGCACACGAAGCACTGAGAACTGAGCACTGAGAAATTTGTCTTCTCCCCACCACACAGTGGCAAACCCCAGCCGCAATGCTAGGCAATCCTTACCGAGCCAAAGCATCCAGACAGTCACGCATCCAGACCTGAGGCTCTGCGCTGGATCGTCTTCCTTTGGGTGAGCCAGGAACGGTCTGTCTGGGACTGCAGAGGGGGGCATACTCCTAAGGGTTGCAGAGCGGAAACAGTGTGAAGAGGAAGCCAGTTCCCTGTTGGCTTCTCTGGCTACAATCCAAAGGACTGGATCAGACATGTTCATGCTTTCACCATCGTGTCACAAATTATTTTTGTGCATTCTGTGAGTGGCTCTCCACTTCTCTATGAGTTCTGCTCTTTCTGACATTCCAGTTAAAAAACAAGCACTTCAGAAAACACAAAGTCTTGAACCAGAGCTATGGAGAATGCCACTGCTTCCCATTCCTTATCTTCATATCCATTTTTTATCCCTTGATGTTTCAAATGCACAGATGCACCCTGAAAAAATATACGAAGACCTCTGGAGTGAGACCATGTTTTCTCAGTGCACATCACACACACATGCAATGGCAAAACTTTGCCCAGAAGTACGCCCGTGCAAGCTCAGGAATGCCTACTTTTGCTTGCAGCGTTATGTCAGTAAAGTTTTACTGACAAAAGGAATCTTGCCTTGATCAAGGCATGTTTCTTTTATTTCCTCGGTGCTTTGTTGATGTGACTGGAAGAAAAAGAAGAGTGAAGGAATGGAAAGCAGGGAACAGCTGTGCCTATGCAGGGCTCTGCATAAAACTGTCTGCATGTAATTTCCCCATGGAGGCCTGTGGGATGCCATCTTTTCGGTGAGAGATTAATCTCCTAGGAGTTTATTGGTACACCAAAGGCATTTATGTTTAAGGAAAAATGTTTAATTTAAGGAAAAATTGTTCCAGCTCTTAAATTATTTAGAAATTTGTTGGAAACACATTTGCTGGCTTTTTACACTGTGGTCTATGTTTTATGTGAACCATTGTGGAAACATAATGGAAATAAATGTACTAATATATACATACAAAACAACAACAGAACAATGTAATGCTCCAAAGGCAGCCATGCTAGCATGGCAACCAAATGAGGCATGTGGGAAACCTCATCTGCAATCAGATGCACCTCAGAGATACCTGCATGAGAAGGCGAGTACCTCACCTGCAATCCATTGGAAAGAGGTGCACTGCGAACCTTACCCCCAAACAGCTCTCGCTGCTGCTGCTGCTGCTGCTGCTTTCAGAGGAGGCTGATTGCTGCCCCCGGAGCTCATCACGCTCCCCTTGCAGGATCTGGATCATCAGTAAACAAGAGGCTTCGCGAGCCCGGTGGGTGTACGTCCAGAGCTCAAGGGCCTGCTTGTCCTTCTCCATTAGGTGCAACTGGGTGTTTAAGTCAGCCAAGCCCTCCTGGGACATGAAGAAAAGAGGGTTAGGTATGGAAAAACCTGACATGGAGAGTCCCTGCCAGGAGCCCACTGGCAGCAGAAACTGCTGCAGAGACCCCCAGAGCTTCTAGGGAGCCAAATGTGTCCCTCAGGCTGAAAGAGGTCACCATTCCTCTGCCTGCCAGAAGCTTTTGCGACTGGGCTCTGGCAGGCATCAGCCCTGCCATGAGAGGGGAACGAACCCTGATTCTGTCAGCTGGGACTGGGCAAAGTTTTGGGGACACAGCCTGCTGCTTGCCTCATGTGAGCATGCCCATGTCCCTGGCTGGGCTCTCCTGCGCTGTGTTCTAGTGAGACTCACACTGGGAGTTTGCTCATTGCACCCTTCCATTCCTGCTGTATAGGTGCAAACTCAACAGAGCCTTTTTTTGAATGCGACTATTCTGTGAAGCCAAATTACACCCACCCCGCCACGCTCACTGGTAACAGGAAGGCTCAGGAGAACTCCCATACTGGTGGAAGTACAGAAGAAGTGGGGGAGAAAACCCTGTACTTCAGAGCGTCCCACAAAGAGAAGCAACTGCTTGACACCCCTGTGCACTGCAACTTTGGTGCTTGCATGGAAGCATAGCATGGACACCCACCAGGAAGGAGCCTCCAGGCATTCGAAGTGCTCGAGCCTGGAAGGCGGGTTGGGAGCTCACCCGGGCAGCCTGCAACCCCTGCAGCAGATGCGCCTTCTCCATCTTGGGCTGCGTGGCCTCAGGCAGCAACTCATCCCGCAAAGTCCTCTGCACCTCTGCCACTCTGGCCCTGATCCCCGCGTTGATGCTGGCCGTGGCAGAGTCAGGCCTGAGGGGCGGCCAGTGTGCAGGGAGCTTCACGGAGGCCTGCTCGGCCCTCAGCCATGCAATGCGCCCGAGCAACGCCTTCCTCTCCTCCTCTGCCGAGCCCCGGGCGCCTGGGAGCCTGAAACGAGAGTGAGGTTGGATGGCCGGCCAAGGCATTCTGCAGCAGCAGGGCAGCTGCCAGCCTAGCGGAAGGCTCTGCAGCCGGCCACGCACAGTGGGGTTCCCTCGGTCAGCGTCTGGTTCTGCCAGAGAGCCATTCCCAGTGGCCTTCCTCCTTGTGCCAGTCCTCCTTTGGATGGATCCCCCAGCCAGGAGCCCCCATCCTCTGACAGGCCTGTTAGAACTTCTTCCAAACACAAGGATGCCACCTTCTCACCCTGTCACTGAGGGTGGGCAATCCATAATCCTGAAGCAAGATTCTAGTCCTCATTTAAACACTCTATTCATTTTGGTGCTAGGCAAAATGATTAGAGTGTTTTTCCAATATTTTAACAGTTGATGTGGTTTTAGTGTGGATTTTGTTATTTACTGATGCTGTTTTTTATTATTGTACTGCTGTCCTGAGAGCTCGGGGTAGAAATCATTTTAATAAAACAAACGAACATTGGGAATTGTTTTCTACTGAGTCAGACCCTTGGACCACCTACAGTTAGGATTGTGCTTGTTTTTAATATGTAGGAGTATTTTTTATTTATTGAGCAGCACAGAATTAGTACAAAGACTATGAAGAGAGACTGGTGCCACCTCTGCAAATTGCCAGAGACTCTCCCCTTTTTGCCTGGAGGTGCCAGTGTCCCAACCTGACCTTCTGCATGCAAAGTGGACCAGAATTCAACCAGCTGCCCCCACCAAGCCCCCTCCTCTGGCAATCTGGCTGCACCTGCCTCACAGACACCCCCTGCCCTGCACATACCCCTGCTCTGGTTGGGTGCAGCCACCAGGTGCCTCGTGGTCCAGACGGGAACTTTGGAAGGCCTGGCACACTTCATCCTTGACGGTTGATTTCACCGCACACCTGGAGTTACTGGGCTCGCCTGGCGGAGGGAGAGGGGGCACAAGAGATCAGGTGCCATCTCAGGGCAGAAGGGAAGGACCTGCTTTACCCTCCTCCTGCTCTAGAAGAAAACAGAGAGCTGTCACATGTTCATGAATTATGGCTAACAGTTTTGCTGGTGCTGGAGGTTCATCTGGGATAGGGATCCAGCCAGCCTTGCTGGATGCCATTAGGACTCCTGTCCAGCCTATGGAGGACACCCGCCCTGCTGACCCCCAGCTCCCTCAACAGTTCCCATCATCCCCCAGCCAGCATGGCTGACGGTTAAGCAAATTGTTCTGCAGGAGGGAGCAGCTCTGCAAGGCACAGGGAACAGCTGCACGGACACCAACACGCAGACCGACCGATCAGCTTAGTTCTGGCGGCACTATCCAAGGCCCTCCCAAAGAGATTCACAGTTAAAGGCCATGAACCACCCCAGGTGATATGGCATATAGTACTAAAGAAATGTTTGCAAGACAGAGTTCCCAAAGCGGTAAGATCACCTGAAGGATTAGCACCTGGGCCTTCTCTTTTCCTTTGCCCTCCCCACTGCATTTTCCTTTTATGCCATTCCACTGAGGGTTGTAAGCCTGAGTGGCCAGACTTTGTCTCACAGTGAATTGATCTGGGAGCTACTCAGAGGCTTCCCTGCCAAAGAGGAGGGGGAAGGTTTTAAAACCATCACTAAAACAAATGCACGTAATAGCAGCTGTGGCAATTCTGAGTATGAGCCAATATCTGTTTGTGGGGATGATGCTGCAGACTCACCTACAGGTGGTCCAGCTTCTTCTGCCGCTGCCTCCAGAGGAAGGTGCAGGCCTGCCACGGTGAGCGAAAACAGGGTCTCGTAGGCCTCCAAGCGGCACTCACTGGCAGATTTCAGAAACAGAAGGTACAGGAGAAACCCAGGGGCCGCAGGATCCCATCACACAAGTAAGCCCACAAAACCACCAATTCTAGCAAGCTTCTACTATTGCAATCATAATCACTACCATTAGTATCACTTTCAGCCACCGCCACCCTTTGCTGTCGTCCAAGCACAACAAAAATTGATCAATCAAAACCTCCTACCTTATGCAGTGAGATTGGTTGCTTCACATAAATGTATCATTGAATTGTGGATGTTTCCATTCCCTGTCTCAAACAGGTACTTTTTTTGCTTAGAGGATTCTTTTGGTGATGTAATGCTTGCATCGTATTGTGTTGGCATTTTTACTTTGGGCTGAATGAACCACAGTTTGAAAAATCCCTTTGAGAACGTGCAATGTAAGAGTCACCAATGCACACTCCTCTGCTTTTCTATGTGTCTCCTGGGGGGGTCACCACCTTTTGAGAGAACAGCTTTGCTTTCATTATATACTGTCTTTTCTCCAAGAGGCTAAGGGAATGTACACGGCACTTTCACCCTCACAACAAACCTGCAAGGTAGCTTTACCCCACCTGGTGAAGGGATTTGAAGCTCCTTCCTGACACTCAGGGGAATGGGCTGCCCAACAGGGGATCACTGGTGTGTCTGCCCCAACTGAAATGGAGGTGTGGGGAGAAAGGCAGGAAGAACCTTGCTAGGAGGCACATGAAGCCCCAGAACAGGACTGGGCAGCCCCTCACCTGTACTGTGCAGCCAAGCACAGGGCGGTATTGTTGGCCTCGCAGCTCCCTAGCAGCATGCTGATGTGCTCCGCATCACTCTTTGATTCTTGCAGGGCGGCCAAGAGGAGCTGGTTGGCGCATCTCCATTTCTCAATGCATCTTGGGGTGGGGGCAGACATGGCACAGGACACAAATTGCCATTATTTTACTCAGAAACACTCCCAGCAACAGCAAATGCCATGAGGCAGGAGAAATGCAGGCCCTTGGGAAGCAAGAGAAATCCGGGCTTGGAAAAGCGCAGGAAAAGGAAGCTTGACCTTTCCCTCTGGGCTGGGCAGCACGAGGTCCCTAAGGTGGCCAGCAGCCTTGCCGAAGCACCCAAAGGAGGACTGTGTGCTTTGGTCCCAGGTCTCACTCTTGACAATATTTTCATGCCACTCTGCAGCGACTTCTCCAGAAGGGGCTCAGTGTGCAAGGATAGCAGTAGGACAAACATTCAGGAAAAACACTTGGAAACAGGCAGCACCAAGGAAGTGGCAGCTGCAAGACCGAAACACGTGGCGTGCTTCCAAGGGAGCAGCATGCAGCCTTCCCTGCAGCCCATGTAGGGCCCAGACGGCCCCCTTTGAATAATGCTGCTGGAAACAACTTCTCCCTGTAAACTGTGCACCGGCCCAACACTGTTTGGGGGCTGGCAGGGGGATATCTGAGGGGAGAAAAGCATTTGGGGAACAGGGCAGTAACCCCCAGGTATGTGTGAGCGGGGTGGGGAGGAGGTGGCAAAGGGATGCACCCCCAACCCAGGCATCCCCTGTCTCCTGCATATGTTGCACAGCTCTCAGGGGCAAAAAAACCAAACGTGATGCCATGACTGCCACACATCCAAGCTGCAGGCCCTCCAGCTAAATGCAGAAGCACATCAGAAATGTGGGAGCTGGGAAAGCAGGGCCTTCTCTCCCGGGGGAGTTGACTCTGGTGGGCCAGAACTTTCCAGGACCTTCCCAGAGCTCCTGCATTAGAACCTTTCCAAAGCAGGGCTGGTGAAATTGAGCCCACGGCCTCCTGCGTGCAAAGACGGCGCACAAGCAGTGGAGAAGCTTCCCGTGCTGATCTCCCACACCCGCCTCCCCAAAGCTTCAAGGCGAGGATGGCCAGCTGTCATCCAGTCATGAGCAAAGCGCAGCGTGTCTCTTACCCTCGGAGCTGCTGGCCCTGCGCTTCCATGTCTTTACACTTCGCAAGGGTCTCTGCAGGTGGGGGTCCTTGCTGGGGGGAAAAGCAGCAGGCAGGGGGGCTGGCGGGGCTGCCCTGGAAACACTGAGTGGCGCTCGTGGCTGTGGCCACAGGATCCTGCATGTGGGGCAATGTGGGATTCGGGGAGACAAACAAGACGGATCAGGGGTACAGCTCCACCCCAGGATGTCTGGGACATTTTCATTGTGTTGCTCTTTTCACGTGTGCCCATCTGGGAAAAGCACATCTGAGACTGCAGAAAAGCGTCCCTTGTTCTTCTTGGATTGGATACGTCTTTGCTTTTGTGCGTGAAGCGCAAGGGCCCTGGTCCCCGCAGTGTGTGGTCCGCAGAGGGATGCAGCAGCTCACCTGAGGCTCCCACAGCGCTCGTTCCCTGGCAGGGCTGGCGGCTCCATCTGTGGGAGTCTCCCTCTTGGACAGAGTGCTCTGGAGCTCTTGGACCTGGATGAGAGTCAGTGGTGACTGCAGTGAACCCACAGCCTTGTCCTGCCGTCCTGGGATTTCCCGATTCTGCCCCACAGATTCCACAGCAGACCAGTTTTCCTAGGTCTCCCAGAGTCTGCACCGTTTGCAAACCTTTGTCTTAATTTATTTTGTGGACTTTTGCACAAATTTAGCCCCCCAAAATATGCAAACTAGACAATGCTGCCAAAAATGTGCAAAGCTCTTTGCCCTAAATAAAGCACAAAAAAGGCATTGGGGGTAATCCATGTAGGTTGGCCAATGTGCCTTTTTACTATAAGAAGACTGTACCACTTCAGAGAAAGCAGAAATGAGTGAGTGAGCCCAGCATTTTAAATGAAGGGAATGGGGAGAATATGGGTGTGATGCTGTCTGGCAAACCTGCTTTTTGGTTCAGTGCCTATTCCAACTCAAGTATTAAATACTGACAGGTAAGACGAACTGGAAAAAAGTGCTGGATTCTGCCTAATGTTACCTTTTTCAGAAGCTTGTCCCTCTCTTTTTGGTAAGCAGACAGTGTGGCTTTGGAACAGCTCAGAGCCTGGTTCATTCCCTCTAAATCCTTCCAGAGGGATGCGTTCTTCTCTTTTTGCATGGCAATTTCTTGCTTGTAGATGCTCATTTCATCCATCCCCAGCCCAACCCCATCAGCTTCCTGATCCAACCAAGGCCATGGCCCTTGGAATTTCTGCAAACTTTCTTTCTGGCCCTGGGAAATGGACAGGTGAACAAACCAGAAGCTTTCACACCTTTCCAGTCACAGCCTTCTGAAGGGGGTACATGGAAAAAAGAGAGCTGGGTGGGAAGCCCCTTTCAGTCCAGGGGCTGAATCCCATTTCAGAAAAGCTCTTCCGTGCTGCCTTCTAGTGCTGGGTAGAGCTGACACCAATAGGGACCGGGGCAAAATAAAACTCCCTTCCTGCTTATATTAGCCCCAATCTCTCCCCCCCCCCCCCACTTCCCCAGTGGCTAAGCTTAGAAGAGGCACTTCAACTGTTCAGAACTGCAAGGGAAAAATGGTAGCAGCTAGAAAACCACCAAATCAGCGATGGCTGGAGAAAGGAGGCATGGGGTATCTTTCCCAGCTTGGGACCCCAGGAAGGCTGGATTTGGATAATGGGTGTGAGGTCCCAGTGTGCCTCAAGCAGGGGAACATGGCTTTGCCCACCTCAGTCCCCAGGGCGCATCCTGCCATGTTGGCCTCAGCACTGGACATTCGGCTCCGATGGGACAGCAGAGTGTTCTCAAGCGATGTGACAGCCTTGTGAACATCAAGAAACAAATCAGCCTTGCCTAAAGCACGGAGGGACAGAGGGGGAAAGAGAGAATGTGTGAATGTGCCTTCAGATGAAACATTGTCCTGCTGTTGTGCCTTGCTCACCAGAAATTTTCTGTGACTCGTGTCCAAGAGGTGGCTGTTTGGAAGTTGCAGCCCAAACACTTGAAGCCCTTGGGGCGGCTTCGGTGCATCTCAAGAGCCTGTTAAAAGCCTGCTTGCCGGATGTCAGCAGAGGGACACTTACAAAGGTTCCTCCAGTCCAGTTTAGCCCAGAAGAACAGAGCAGACTTTTTTGTTTTTCCCTATCCCTTCCTAATACAGTATAATATTTTCATGACTGATGTAAGCCGTCCTGAGATGTCATACATATAGGATGGCATACAAAAATTTTAAACAAACAAACGAACAAACAAAGGCTGAGATATACAGGCAGGAACAAGGGAAACGCTCCCATGGCAAAGGCACCAATGGATTTCTTGGGATAATTTATGTCCTCGTTGTAAACCAATACTGGAGCAATTAAGAGTTTTGTCCCACCCCCCTGAAGAGTGGCAGACTGAGCTGCAAGCTTGCAAAAATGTTTGTACCTTCTCTGGAACAGGCTGGTCTCGGTGGCAATGCCGGAATTGCTGCTGCCAGCCTCGAAAACTGTGGACGGCATTGCGGGAGGCTCGCTGTGTACTCAGAGCACAGGTCGGAAAAATCCTCATCCTCCCTGCTGGAAAGAGTGCAGAGGGAAGGCTGTCTCTTGGTTTGGGAATTTAAAAGCAACTCTGCACAGTCTCTTTCACACGTGCCTTTTGAGAATTGCTGCAGCCCACCCATGCATCTTCAGCCAGGACGAGGCACGGATGCTTTACAAAGGGAACCACCCTTTCCAAGGGTGTTGCGGCTACTCTCACAAAATGGCTGCTTTAGGGGCGGGGCTTGAAATGTAGCCAGTCACAAAACACGCATTTTCCGAGAGGAAACCAGCCATACTAAAAGAAGTACAAATACTCTTTTTTGAACCTGAATAAAGGCATGTGGCAAACCGCTTTTCACATCCCTGAATGCCATCTCCCAGGTGAAGCACATGCAGAATAATTGAGAAAGACTGAGAAATCAAACTAAAATCGGGAGGAACAAGGGAGGAGGAGGCTGTGCCACTGATGGAGACCCTGTCATTGGAAAAGGTCAAGGAAGTCTGTTATCAGCCCTTCGCTGCCCAACCAGGCAGCAGGCAGGGCTTTGCCCTCACACACGATTCCCAGGCTTTCCATGGAGAAGCCAATGGCATCATTACCTGGCCTTGCTGTCCTGCAGGCGCTCAATTTGTCTGTGCAGACGTGCCACAGTCACCAGCAGGTCTGTGATGTGCTCCTCATAGCGGAGGACTGCCTGCTCATCCGGCACCGTCTCCTGGAACCCCCCATCTGGGGGCCCCACTTCACTCTTGGAGTCCAGAAAACAGGGAAGATGAGAGATGGTGGAAAAAAGCAGCCTCCAGAACTGCTATGATACAACCCCCCCCCCAAAAAAAGGAGGGGCAGGCACACAGCGCCTTGATTGGCCCCACAGACATCTGCCGCATAATTATGTAGGACAGGGCTTTCTCCAGAGTGCACCCCAGTTTTGCAAGCCCCCCCTGAAGAGGGATGGGGACAGACACCTGGGCATTTTAAACAGTGTGGACTGGCCAGATGTGCTGGACTGCAACCAGCATGCATGGTGTAGTCCAACCCATGGAGAGGGTGTTGCGGGTGGGGTAGGGTGGGGAAGCTGCTCCTTGCGGGGCTACTCAATCAACTCGGCCATGGACGTGACTTTGATCCTGCCATTTCTGTTGTGGCTCCCAGACTGGTGAGTTTTATCAATGAGCCACATCAGGTTTCAAATGCAGTAGGACTGCTATCACACACGGCGCCCCAGAACTTCACTTGACAGGCCACGGGAGTGCCCAAATGCCAGCAGCTGGATAAGTGTCCACCCTGTCCCTGCCCTGCCCAGGCCGACACCTCCGAGGGACCCCAGCCAGCAGGATGCTGGGGGAAGCACTCGGTGCCTGATCAACTGCCCACAGAAACTGGCACCCAGTCCGGATAATGAGCTGTCCAGCAGGTGCCAGATTGCGTCATCTTGCTGTGGTCCAGCTGATGGCTTGGCAAGGGTCACGTACCCCATGGGATGAGAAAGAGGAAAAGGGCAGTGCACCACATTGATGCTGGATATCAGCAGGGAGGACAACACAGACCCAACCGGCCAACCAAAGGAGGGGGGCTTCAGCAGGTGCCATACAGCCCCACACTGGTGCACCCTGACCTCCTGGGGTCCGCGGAGGGAGCCACAGCAATGGACCCACCACCTGGGGGCTCTTATACAGGCACAGGCGGGCTGCGGGAGCTGCCCAATGCTGCCCAAGTGAGTCCCGGCAGTCGAGCAGCTGACGACTGGCTCTGGGTGCAGGGCAGAGTGCACCGGGTAGCCCTGTCTGGAGGATACCCACTGGAGCTGCCGTGGCCAGGGGACTCCCACCTAGGAGAGGCCGGAGCTGGTGTAACCAGCCCTAACCCCAGGCTGCCGCAGTTGCATGGGGCTCCAGAGGGCGCGATGGGCCCTTCGCCGGGATCCAGAGAAGTCAGGCTCAGTTCCCATGAGGTGCTCACGGAGCCCTGCTCAGCCCAGCTTGTCCACAAGGGCTTTGCTTCAGAACAACAACCAACCAACCAAAGCAAACCTTCTGCCTGGTGTGGCACAGACCTTGCTGAACAGCTCTGCATTGCCCTGAGTGGGCTGGGGGTACAGCCAAACCACCGGCCATGCTTTAAATGTGCAGCGTGAGGGGGAAGAGGGCCATGCAGGCTTTGGGGCAGATGCCTTCCTGCTTCTCTGCAGCAACAATGGACGGCTTGTTCTCACTGGGCCTGACTTGCCTCCAGGCCACTGTGTGGGTCCCAGAGAGCAGGCTCCCTGCTGGAGAGGGGTATGGCCACAATCCTCTCCTCAGGAGCAAACCCATAGCAGAACATACCCTGTGCATGCAGCAAGCAGAGAATTACCAAAGGGAGTCATTGCCTCAGATGGGGAAATACATGCTTGACGTGGACCCATCACAGACTTTCCAGGTAACCAACCCTGCAGGCTTGTTGTGAGGATAAAAGGAAGTTCAAAAGGCCACATAAACTTGGCAACCAAAAGGTCTGTGTGTGGTTGTGTGTGTGCCCAAAATACAGCAGCAGGGAAGGTTTTTGGTAAACGATTTATTCTCAAGAATACTCCACAGCCAATTAGTCATTCCAGAGGATGCCCCAGGCAGACCCCAGTGACAGGCCAGTTTCAGGCTGAGCTGCTCCACCGTTGAGGAGTCTAGTCCTCCAGTCAGAGCCCCTTCACCCGCTACTTCAACCTTGGCTCTGTCCATGCCCCAAAAAGCCACAGAGCCAAACCTGAGCCTACTGCTGCCCAGAGGCGTCCTGATTCACAAAGACCGTCACAGGGACCATTTCATCTCCCTGCCACCTTCTCCTCAGCGGGCTAAACCCACATTCCTTTCAACCGTTCCTTGCAGGACTCAGCTTCTTGACCCTTCGATTCTTGATCCCCAGCCTCAAGCATAAAATCAGGAAACTTTAGAATTGGAAGGAGTCTTGGAGGTCATTTAGACCCCCACTTCCCCTTGCTCAAGCAAGCACCAGGCATCAAGCACAACAGCAGTCCTGCATTGGCTGAAACTCCTCCAGTGAAGGAGCACCCAAGCCCGCTCAGGACAAGTGGCCAGCTCAGGACCATACGCCATCCTCACCTTCTGCATCCCGTCTTCGACCTTCCCTCGAGTGCCACGGAGCAGAACAATGTCCCAAAATGGCCCAGTTTGGTCACAGCAAGCTGGGCAAATCCCCTGTGATGGACGGCTGCAGCTTCTTCCTGTTTATTTCCAAATTTCCCACACCCAGCACAGGTTTCCTGTCCTCAGCAAGAGGAAGAGGTTGCGCTTTGCTGGGGAATGTCTTTCTTCAGGGCTGGCCTTTAACCTACAAACAGGATGATTCCGGGGCTGAGTTTGGAACATGCTGGGAAAACCAGGAAAGCAGCAACAGCACGATTTGTTTAAAAGAAACAAACAGAAGAAACAGCTCAGACAGAAGGTGAAAGGAACAGAAGTGCGAGGCGCCTGGATGGGTGGTCAAGGTGGAGCCCAGGGGCGCCTGTGTGCATCAGACACCCCTCCTGCTTTCTTGTAAAAATTAACACCTTTTCTTCCTGGCAGCAAGAGACAGGCTGTGGTTGCTGCCAAAAACTGTGGGTTCCAAGCAGTAGTGCAGGAGGGTTCAGACATGATGCCTACCCTAGACACAGGTCTCAGGGCAGGTTCTTTGCTCCTTGCCACTCCTCACCTTGCCACGGCAGCCATGTTCCTACCATTTCCTTAAATTGTTGGATCTTCCATTTACCCAAAATGGTGCCCTGTCCCAGCCAGCCGAGTCCATTTAATGGCTAAAGAAGTTTCTTGCGTGCAGGCACCAACAGTGGAAAGACAGCTGCTCAATGGTTTTTGAGGGTTTCCTTACTGTGGCAAAAATGTGCCATTCAGAAAGGTAGCAGCTAGCCACGAGTTTGCCCTCCATTCACAGACGTTTCCAAGGAGAAGAGTCATGCCAAAAATACGTTTAAAGAATCAAGACATCACAACTGGGCTGGGCTTCTGCAGAGTTTTGCCTGTTCGTGTGAATGCATGGAGAGAGCAACAGTGGCCAAGGGAGACGGGAAAAGAGAACCTGCTGGTGTGCCATCCTTTGCTTGCTTCTGGGGAGACAGATGCTTCTTGGAGGCTCATGTTACCCGCCCAGTGTCTTCCTGCTCCAGGTCCCTACCTATTTGGGACTTGCCTATTTGGGAAGAGTTCTTGCCAGAAAACAGAAAGGGCAGAAGTTGCCCTTTCTGCCCTGCAGCCTCCTTGTGTGGGGAAAGGACAGGCAAAGCAGAAACGCAGGCTGTTCCTTCACAGGGTCCATCAGATCTCCTGCTCAAGCCGTCTCTGTTCTGCCTTGGAAGAGAGGGACTTTGGTGACCTCCCTCAGCCTGCATCCCCCTCATTTGCAAAAGGGGGGGGGGCATAACACTGGGCTACCTCACAGGGCTGTTGTGAGGATGACAGCTGCAGATGGAGTGCTTTGAAGTCAAACATACATGCACCTCTTTGCCTGCCCTTTTTTTCTTTTCTCCCCAATCTCCTGCCAGTCTTTCCTGTATGACTTCAAAGCAAGGAAAAGGCAGATCTGAGATGCCTGGAAAAGTATTTTGCAAAAAACATTTTGCAAATTATCCCTCTGCAGCAGATTTTTGCTTTCCTTCTCTGGCATTCCAGTCCAAACTGGCTCCAAGGCAGCTTAAAGGCATATTGGGAGACGTTGGTGGTTAGGGCCACTTCTGCTCAGCAGTCCAAGAAACAATCTAAACTTGTGGAGGCCAATGAAGGGTCTGCCAGGCGTAGGACCTGACAACAGCCCGTGGGAGCAGTGACTCTCCCGCAGTGTGCCCGCCTCGCTGCACCCCATTTCTGAGAGCTTCTGGCCAGTTGCACTACAGGACCAAACAAGAACCAGAACCAGGCATATGGCAGCATGCGCACCTCAGGGAGGCACTTTAGTAAAGTAGAAAAAGCGCAACTAAAGCAGGGAAAACATCAAATTATCAGCAGTTGGGAGGAAGGGCAAGTCCACGGGAAGGGATGGCACCATTTGGAGGAAGCAGGCGGCCTGGATCCAGACCCTAAGATGCTTTTGGTTGACCTCACACCTGAGCTTCTGCCCCTTTGTTAAAAAACCAGTTTTAAACACAGATAGGAAGCATATTCAGAGAGCATAACCTCTGGAAGTACCTTTTAAAAAAGGGTGCTATCTTTTTCTTCGGATAGGGAGCAGTTTTAAAAAAACCTCTAAGAATCTATCTATCACGTTTCTATGCTGCCCCATAGTCAGAGAATCAGAGTTCCAATAAGCATAGACAGAGAGCCTCTCTTCGAGGGGAGCTTGGCTTTTGTCTTTGTTCTTTTTATTTTGTTTTATTAAAGCAAATTAAATTCATTAAAGCTTTGAGCACAGCGTAGTTCACAATTCACCTTCACATACTAACGCTTTTGCCTCGCCTTTGGAAGGAAACTACAATTCCCAGCAGAGCTTGCGACAATGGGTAGTAGTGGTTTATTTCCTTCCCTTAGAGCCATTTCCGCCCCGGTTTGTTAAAAAAAGGGGAAAAAGAAGAGGGTTTTACAGCGGCTTTGCAAAAGCATTGTCAAGTTTTAAGCAAGGTGGGTGATTTGCACAGAAAATAGCTAAGAAATATTCTGGTTTTGTGTATATCGGTGTATGTCGGGGGAATTCTTGCGGAATACCTGCATTTGTTTTGAAGGAGATTAATAAAGAATGCCAGCTTTGGTGTAACAAGCTTCCCTTCGCCTTTCCCTCAAATTCTTCCTTGAGGACGCTCGAGGAACTGGATTTATTACTGTTGCAAAATTTTCCATTTGGTGCAAATTATTTTGTTTTATTTATTTGTATTTAAAATATTTCTAACCCATCCTTTGCATAGCCTCAGGACGGCTTACAACAAGCTCGTTTGATTCTAGAAATGCTGTTTGCTCATGCTGCCATCTTTCTTTTTCTGCACGGGTCCTCAGTTTCCCTGAATGGGATTTACTGACTCTGCCGAACTCTTGCAAGGACTGTGTGGTTTTGCAGCAGTGCAGCTCTTGCAAAGATCATCTTTCAGGTGCGGAAACCTCAAAATATGTGATAGAATTTGAGATAGAGATACAATTAATTTCCTTTTCTATGCACCATGAATAATTATATAAACCTCTCTTGTTTATGCTGTCAGTTGTTTCCCCACTCCAAATCCATCGCAACCTATTTCCTAAACAGCTTTTCAGTAAGTTGGAAAAGGTCAGGCAACTTCTTCCTACCTACATCTTAAGGACAATTATAATGAAATGCCGTACTCAGGTTGTTTATTACTATTATTATGCGAAAATATATATTGCAGAGGACTTTGGGGTGCTGGTGGTATAGAGATGGTTTCATAAGAAAAAGTAACCGGAGGGCAGTCCAAAACCTTTTACCTGCTGCAAAAATGGGGGTAACTTGTCCTCACATGTTCAGTAGGATGCCCTGACAGGTAAGTTGGGCACTCCCAAGGCAGAAAAGGAGTTTGCAGCTCCCAGGGGAAGAGCTTTTCTCTCTCCAACCATCACTTTCTTCTGGTGCTTCCTTGCAAAGAGTCTGGCCAAAATTGCAGAAAACTCTAATGTAGTTGAATAAGAAATAGTTGGGAGAAGAGCTGCTCTTGAGCAGATGGCTCCTTCTTGCCTTCTTTGCAAGTGGCAACATCATTTGGTCCTAAATTAGCTTTGGTACTTTATTGGTTGGATAGTTACACATTTTGGTCTGTGCACTGGGGAACATTCTTGGCTACTTGCACTGGGTTTGTCTTAAATCTTAACCTTTCTGCCCAAAAAGGAAAAAAAAGTGTGAAAAGGTTGTGTGTGGTTTGCAGGTGCCACATACCCTCTGTCTTGGGACTGTAGCCCTTTTTTGATGAAAATAAAGGTGCCTGATACTGGACAAGAGGCCTTAAATCCAGTCAGAGTGTCACATGTTAGAGTCATGTGTTGTCCTCCTCATGTACCAGACCTTAACTTCCAGGCAGGCTGGGGATGCTGGGAGTTACAGATTGACTATATTTTATAGTTCCATGTTACCTAAGGAATATGGGAGTCCTGGTACTAGCTCAGCAGAGCCTGGCTTTTCGGATTCTGTTTGAGTTACGCATGTGATTTTTATGTTGCAAAAGGGTTTATCTTCCCAGCCAGACATTTTATCCCTGCTTGGCCTTGTTCCCTGTCCAAATGCCCCTTTACCCCTGCAGTCCTGCACTTGTAGATCCCTGATGGACACTTCAGAGCCTAACAGTGCCACGGAGGAAGAGGAGGAGAAGGCAGCAGCAGAGCAGCGGCCCAGGACGCGCTCCAACCCCGAGGGTGCTGAGGATCGCACCCTGAGCGCCCAGGCCAGTGTGGGGAGCCGCAGTGAAGGGGAAGGGGAAGCTGCCAGCACTGGCGACAGCCCCCCAAGCGCCAGTGCCCCGACTCCAGCGGCCAACAGCAAAGGCTGGCCGGCCCTTGCATCCCCTGCTGAATTCCAAGTTCGAACGCCACGTGTAAACTGCCCAGAGAAGGTGGTGAGTTGGAAGGGGCCCGAGGGCCATGGGGTCCAACCTCTGTTCAGTGCAAACTCCAAGTTGAACTGTTCCTCTTCAATAGCTGTCTGGCTGCATCCTGAAAGCCTCTAATGTGGGAATGCCCACCACCGCCCTAGGTCATTGCGTCCATTGTTGTTCTGCTCTAACAGTCAGGAAGTTCTCAATTTCCAGCTGGAACCTGGCTTCCTGCACCATGAGCCCGTTATTCCATGTCCTGCTCTGTGGGTGATCCTGGCCCTCATCTGGAGTGTACGGCCCCCTCCCAATTTCCCCGTGTTTTTAATTCCGAGCCCCTGAACAAAGGCTCAATGGGGTATTGATGTATGGCCCAAGCCTTCAAATCTCTTAGCAGGGGACGGTGACCCATGTGCTTTGGCGTTGGTGCCCGGCAGCCCCTGTTGACATGGCCTGGGAGACACTGATGCGGGAGTGAAGATCTGCTTTCACCACAACGGCAGTGTGTTGCACTGCAGTGCCTGTTGCATTGGAACGTCGGATCGCATCAGGAGAGACCACATCTCCCATTCCCCCACCACAGCCATTGCTTTCCCTTGCTGGGCACTGAGCACCTTATGGGGGCGCGTGTGCCACTGAACGGATAAAAATGGAGGAGTTGTTTAGGCTGCCTGCTCTTCTGGGAAGATATATATGTATTTTGCCTCTGTGCTCTCCCCAGAGCAGGATGAGGCCAGGGACCTTGGGGCACAGGTGTGAGTCACCCCAACCCTTGAAGTCGAGGGGCTCCTCAGGCCATTGGACATTACAAAGGCGCCAGGCCCTGACGGGTTACACCCGAGAGTACTTGGAGAGTTGGCAGGGGTTCTCTCACGCCCGCTGGCCTCCATTTTTGAGACCTCGTGGAGAACGGGTGAAGTTCCAGAGGACTGGAGGGTGGCATCAGTGGTCCCAATTTTCAAAAAGGGCAGTAGAAGGGACACAGGGAATTACAGACCTGTTAGCCTTATGTCCATTGTAGGAAAAACAATGGAAAGGCTCATAATAGAGAGAGATCTAGTGATGCTGGATAGGGAAGGGAGGCTGGCAGCCACACAACACGGCTTCTGCAAAAACAGGTCCTGCCAGACAAACCTTGTGGAATTCTGTGACAAGGTTTTGCGATGGCTGGATGGAGGGGATGCAGTGGATGTGGTTTACCTGGATTTCAGCAGGGCCTTTGACAGACTGCCCCGTGATATCCTGGTGGAGCAACTGAGGAGTTTTGGGATACACCAAAGCACTGTCCGGTGGATTAGGGCATGGTTGACTGACCGAAAGCAGAGGGTAACCATTAGTGGGGAATCATCGAGATGGCAGCCAGGGACAAGCGGGGTCCCCCAGGGCTCTGTCCTGGGGCCGATCCTGTTTAATCTTTTCATAAATGACATGGAAGAAGGGGTGAACAGTCTGCTGATCAAATTCGCAGACAACACTAAAACTGGAGCAGTGACCACGACTGAGGAGCAGGTACTCCAGATGCAAAAGGATCTGGACAGACTATGGAAGTGGGCAGGAGACAACAGGATGGCGTTCAGTGTGGATAAGTGCAAGGTCTCCCACTTGGGGCATAGGAAGGGGTGTCATAAGTGCAGGTTAGGGGACAAGTGGCTGGAGAGCAGCACTTTTGAAAGGGACCTTGGGGTGCTGGTTGACTGCAGGCTGAACATGAGCCAGCCATGTGATGCGGTGGCCAAGAGGGCGAACGCCACCCTTGGTTGCATGGCCAGAAGTGTGCCTTCTAGATCGAGAGGGGTATTACTACCACTCTATATGACTCTGGTGCACCCGCAACTGGAGTATTGTGCGCAATTCTGGGCCCCTCGTTACAGAAAGGACACAGCCAGGTTGGAGTCAGTGCAGCGCAGGGCCACAAGGTTGGTGGCCGGTTTGCAGGGGAAGCCGTATGAGGCGAGACTGAGGGAACTGGGTCTCTTCAGCCTGGAGAAGAGGAGACTCAGAGGGGATCTGTTGGCGACATGCAGGTATGTGAGGGGGTGTCACACGGAGGTGGGCAGAGACCTGTTCTCCCCTGCAGAGGAGGGCAGGACATGCTCCAACAGAGCCAAGCGCAGGGAACCAAGGCTCAGTTTGGATACTGGGAAGCACTTCCTGACAGTCAGGACCCCGAGGGTGTGGAATGGGCTTCCACAGGAGTTGGTGGAGGCCCCATCGGTGCGGGTGTTCAAGGATTGGCTAGACATGCACATGGTGGGCATGTGGTGAGCAGAGCCGGCTAGAGCTGGGGGTCAGACTAGATGGCCCAGGAGGGTCCTTCTGACTCACTCTGTTTCTGTGTTTCTATGTATTCATGTTATTTTCTTGCAAGGAATGTAGTTACCTAGTTCCCTCTGTTTGATCCTCACAGCAATCCTGTGAGGTAGGTCAAGCCAGGAATAAAAAATAACATGTATTATAGTTATATCCCACCTTATTTCAGGCAAGGAACCCAAGGCAACTTACGTAATTATTTGTTTTTACATAGTTATTTGTTTTGCGCCATCGTTATTTGTTTTTCGGCGCCAGGTGAAGACCTTTTTATTCAAACGTCATTTTAATTGCTAATATTATTTGCTTACTTCGGCCAGGGTGACTTATTTTATAATGTTAATGTGTTTTATATTTTTAGTGTTTTATATTTTAACTGATGTTTTGTAAGCCGCCCCGAGGCTTCAGCGAATTGGGCAGCATAGAATTTTTTAAATAAATAAATAGCTCTGCTTCCAATTTTATCCTCACAACAACCTTGTGAGGTAGGCCAGTGACTAGACAAAAAGTGACCTAGTGAACTTCAGACTTAGCTCTGTCAAGTCTCAGTCCAGCATTCTCATCTCTGTACCACATTGCCATAATACTGAATAATTTCTTTTCACATCAGGTGTTTCTGGTTTGCAGCATCAGGCTGCTTACTAAACCTTGTACAGAAATCTGGGGTCCTGCAAATCTCAGAATCCAGCTCCCAGAATTCTTGACCACTGTCTATGTAGACTGGGGCTAATGGTAGCTGAGTCCTGCGATCCCCGCCAGATGGAGGAAGACAGTTGTAAAAATGTAGAAGCCAATCTAAGAGATTTAGGAAACCTGCCAGATGGGGCATGCATCCTACCTAAATATCTTTGCTTCTCCATCCCAGATCATCTGCTTGGACCTCTCAGAAGAAATGTCACACCCCAAACTAGAATCGTTCAACGGGTGAGTGACCACTCATCTTCCTTGCCAGGATGTGTGTGGTGTTGTTTTCTGAAGACCCTGTTAAGAAAGAAAATGAAAGAAAAACATATTTATTGCGGTGTTGCGGTTGAGTATGCTGAACCAGACATTGCAATGTTAAAGTTCTCTCAGGGAGCAGGCAGGAAGGTGGATCACCAAATATTTTGGACTTCAATTCCCAGAATTCCTGGTTGTGGGCCAGGCTGATTGGGACTTCTAGGAATGGAAGTCTCACACTTTGAGATGCCAAACTCTGCTGGCTGAGGGATGCTAGGAGAAGCTGGGAATTAAAAGAGGAACGTGGGAAGCTGGTTGTCCCTAAATCAGGCCCTTGCTCCATCTCCCCCAGTATTTGCTTTTGTTCTCTGCCTTTCAACCAAAGAATAGGTCCCACCTGGGAGTTGCTGCTTTCCCCTGGTGTAGCTCATGCACCTTTTGCTCTTTCTGAAAGGTCCAAGACCAATGCTTTGAACATCTCCCAGAAGATGATCGAGATGTTTGTGCGGACCAAACACAAGATAGACAAGAGCCACGAATTTGCACTGGTGGTGGTGAACAATGATGTCACTTGGGTATGTCTGGATATTTGGATTCCAGTGGGTTTCTCCAGGCCGCTGTGGAGCGAAACAGCCCAGAATGCAGTCCTCTCCGTGTTCCTTAAAAAGGGAAAGACAGCAGTGCAAAGCTTTGATCCTCAAGATGACCGCAGCAGGTCACTGTTCCTCCATTGGTTTGTGAGAGGGGCGCACACAGATCAGCTGTGTGCGGTAGGACAGGAGGCAGGCACGCCCAGGGCCGTTCAGGGAGATTCAGGACAGACCGGGGAATTTGAACTCAGCTCCCTTTGGATGGAAAAGCATGGGGGATCCCTGAGTCTTGATGTCTGACACTGGGCTGGGCTGGGATCCATTTATGTCTTCAGCCTGACAGCTTAGCCAGGGGGTGGGACCTCTTTCAGCCCGAAGGCCGAATTCCATTTCTGAGGAGCTTTGCCATGTGGGACCGAGAGGTCAGAGGATGGGATCAAAACACCTGCATCTCTTAATTTCAAGCTCTTCTTGAAGCTCAGCCTTCAGGGAGGGATTTCTGTCTTTTGTAATTGCAGTATTTTCTTGGTGCATGGTTGTGGCGCTCTGCGGTGGATTTTGTCCATGGGATTGGAGTTGCACACCCTTGATTTAAAGATTAGTGGATGTATTATGTAATGGTCAGAACAGTGGCGGGTCACTTTTTCGCCAAAATACCTGGAGGGCCAGGTATTTCCTATCATCCTCTGTTGCTAGCTTTTCTGTCCAAAACTGATAGGAGTTGTAGACTCCAAGTGTCCTAAAATGAATATAGGACATTCGGGAGATGAGATAAATGGGGGGCCAGCACATACATAAGAACATAATGTTAGGGCTGGAAGGACCTTAGAGATCATGTAAGCAAAGCCCCAAGTGAGGCAAGATTCTTATGGTCTTTCCTACCACTCATTTTACGAATGATGGCTTTGGTCTGGTGCCGAAACCAGTGTCTCAACCCCATCTTCCCTGCAGCTTTCCGGCTTCACCTCTGATCCCAGAGAAGTTTGCAGCTGTTTGTACGACCTGGAGACCGTGGCGTGCAAGTCATTCAGTATCCTTTCCAGCACCCGCTCAACCTCCCTGTCCCACAGAAAGACCCTCCTGTGCACTAGTGAGGCTTCAAGGGGTGGAGGGTGTGTTGATCATTTCGGATGTTGCTGTGCCAGAATCCGGGCTCCCGACTGATTTTAATAGCCTCAGCACATGGCCCCATGTGCCAGCAGGTCCCCCGTGAATGAGGGCTGACCATCCCCTTTCTGGTACCCCAGCCTGGACCCCCCTTAGCTGCCTTGTGCAAAGCTGGGCAGTGCTGGCGCCCGGCCGGTATTCGTGCACAGTGCTGCAGTGAGAGCCTGCGCAGGCCGGCTGGCCCCTCCCGCTCTGCCCGGGGGTGGCTTAAGTGGAGGAGGAGGAGGAGGAGCGTTAGTGTGGGAGCAGTTGCGGCTTCATGCTTTGGTCCCCACGTTTGGAACAATGGGAGGCTGAGGATGCCAGCGTGGGGCTTCTGCTGTCCTGCTTGAGATGCGTTGCCTGCCTGCCTGCCTGCGGGTGCTCAGGACTCCCTGGTCCTGGACCTTGTGGCGCCTGGCCGTGCTGCAGGGGTTAATGGAAGCTGCAGTCCAAAACATCTGGAGGCTGCCTGCCTCCTCCCATTTTTGAGGATGCTGGACTTGTGCGGTGCAGCTGCAGGGAGTCGGGGAGTCACGGTGATGGATCTTAGCCTTTTTCTCTCCCAGATCTGGAAGGCCTGTTCAGCCTCGTGTAAGTCCGCTTCCTCCTTTCTGTGACTCAGTTGGATCGGGATGCGTTGATGCTCCATCAGCAAGGCTGGAGCGACTCCTTTCCCCCTGATTCCTGGAGGGGTGGGGGTGGGGGGAAGCTCCTTTCTGGTCACACTGCCTTCAGTGCAGAAATCCATGATTTGCTGCTAACCACTCTGAGAGGAGTAACAGTGAGAAGCAAAGCGAGAGGCGTGGTAAACACACACAAAATGCTCAGACCGCATGTCAGCATATCTAGTCAGCTGGCTAGAATGACCCAAATACAGTGGTCCCTTGGCTCACGAATGCCTCAGTTCACAACCAAATCAGGTTGTGAACAGAAATTTCATAAAAATGTTGCCGCAGGTCATGAACTCCGCATTGGGTGATGATTGCAGTCGAGCCTGCCTTCCCTGCACGGGCGCAATCGCAGTCATGCTGGGGGGAGAGATGGCCGCAGTTGCGCCTGCCTCCCCTGCAAGAGCATGACCGCGATCACGCCCGTCTCCCTCTACCCCAGAGCACAATCGCGGCCATCTCCCCCCAACCAGCATGATCACTCGGGGGCGGGGGGAGATGGCTGCGATCTTTGTTGTTCTTTGGCACTTAGCTTCACATTTTTGTGAGTAAAAAAAATAGTTGCAGAATGGATTAACCTCATTGACAGTGACCCTGATGGGGAAATTTGACTTGGCTCACGACCAATTTGGGTCACGACCAGAGTCCTGGAATAGATTAAGTTCGTGAGCCAAGGTACCACTGTAGATTATTCATTTACTAAATAAAATATATTTTATTTGTGAAAATAAATTTAATGATACCAGATACCCGTAATGGCCTCTGCCAGAGGGTCCCTCTTTTCACCAGTAATCCCCTTTCATATGAGGTGTGAGGAATATGGATATTAATGCCAAACAGGACCTTGCTCTTTATGTAAGAGGAGGCAGGTCTGTGTGGACAGAAAGCAGCCCAAGAAAAGCAGGAACTTGTGGCCAGCTCCTCTTGTGCGTTGTCATGCGCAGGAGATCGCCAGGGCAGGTCCACGGGCCAAATTCCCCTGGGCATGTGCTCTCCCTCTCTCCTCCCTGTAGGTTGCAGAAGACAGAGCTGCCTGTCACAGAGAATGTCCAAACCATCCCACCTCCGTACGTGGTCAGGACCATCTTGGTGTACAGCCGCCCTGCCTGTGAGCCGCCAGTGTCTGTGACAGACCAGATGAAGGTACATGTTCCCTTCCACCCCTTTTCCCTATAAGTGCTTTTGTGGGATTCTCTCCTTGGGCCTGTCTTGGGGTTGATGACTCGTTTGGTCACCAGCGGCGATCAGGAGGTTTGTGCAGGCTAGTGTAGAGGAGGGATAGTTGCCTCTGCCTTTTCTCCATCAACCCACTGGGTGGAAGGTGCTTTTTAAATATAGAAGTGGCTGCTAAGAAGGTGCCAAGGCGCGTTTGCAAAGAGCTGCGGTCTGGAGGTGCAGGCCAGCAGAACTGTGCCAGGTGCTCATGGCTGCGGCTCCTAGACCCGGCTATTTTGTTACCTCGGCTTTGCCAGCGGGGCTCTGTGATCTTCTCTTGCCACAGAAAATGCTGCAGTCCCCCTATTACTTCTTTGATGTCCTATACATCCACAACGGAGTAGAGGAGAAAGAGGAGGAAACCAGCTGGAAGGTGAGCCGTGTCTGAGCCTTCCTGGCCTGATTGGTGGGGGAGCACTGGGCTCAAGGAGACCTGCATTTGCCTCTCCGTGGCAGCCAAGTGGCCAAAATGCCGGTGCGTCTCCGCACGGGGAGGTGCTAGAGTGTCTCCTGCCAGAGCCCTCGCTTGGAATGTGGAAGGCTGTGGGTCTAATCCTGCTGTGGGGCTAGGAAAAAGCTTGAAACCCTACAGAGCTGTTACTGCCAGCCCATGTAAACAATACTGGGCCAGAGGAATTAAAGCGCCGAGTCAGTCTAAAGTCGTGTCTCATACTCCCATTTAAAATCAGTCCTTGAGTCAGAACGGTGAGGACCGGCATCTTAATGTATTATTTAGGGGAAAAACCACAGCTTGGTGGCAGAGTCTCCAGTCTGCACGCTGAAGGTTCAGGGACCAAAATCTGCCTTGGAATAGGGCAGTGTCTTACAAGAGGCGTGTGTGTGGGTGGGTGGTCTGGAAATGCATTGCCTTGCATCTGCAGATAGTCTTAACAGTGGGGAGTGAGGAAGGAATCCAAAACTCACCCAAGTGGCTTGTCTGGGGAAAGGGAAATGGTTTGTGCCCAAATCTATTTATCTGAGCCACCTTAATTGGACATGTTGTTGCCAATGTCTGTTCCCCCTCCCCTCTGAAAACCTGCTCATATGTGGACCTGCTCATAAATTAGCACAGAAACAGAAAAGGCCACAGAAACCTCTGTTTTTCATCTGTGCTGCCCAAGTTGTTTCCTTCAGGGTGAGAGAGTTGTTGAAAAAGCAAGCTAGGATACTGGGGGAAAGAATACTGTACTTTCGTGTTTCAGTCCATGGTTCTGAATGCAAGTCTGCCTGGGGTCAGAGGAGGTTAGCAATTGGGCAGATTAAAAATACAGTGGGAAAAAATGCCATACGAGGAAGGCCTTTATAATGGCATCCTCATCTGATCATGAGTCACTTTCTCTCTCTCCCTTTCTAGGAGACCTTTGCCTTCTTCAGCAACCTGGATGCAAAAGGCACCAATTACAAATATGAGGTGTCTCTGACTGGCCCAGCTGTCGAACTGCACAACTGCATGGCCAAGCTCCTAGCCCATCCGCTCCAGAGGCCGTTCCAGACACACGCCTCATACAGCATGCTGGAGGAAGAGGATGGGCTGGAAGCAGAAGCCGTGGTGTGACCCGGGGGGGGGGGGGGGGGGGGGGGGTGGGCGGGCCAGTGGCAGAAGCAGGTCAAAGGCATCTGAGGCTGGGCTTCTCTCTCTGCCAAGTGGACCCTGGCCAGTGAATGTACCTGGTTGGCTGGGCTACATGTATGCTTTTTATTGTTCTTACTGGGGATTTCATATGGGTGTGGATGTTTTACAGGATCCATCTTTTTATTAGCACAATTAACACCTGTCATTACGTTACAGCTTCTACAGCTTTGTTTGGATTTTTAAAAGCATTTTTATCCCCTCAGAGGGCAGCTTAGAAAGATTATTATGCCATCCCTGCCCTTGGATTTACCATTGGAAGGCATGGCACCAAAAGAAAAGGGAAGAGAAGAAGAAATGAAACAAAATTATAGTTATTGGTTTTAGAATTCTTATAGGCCTTAATTTCTGGAGCTGAGGGGCAAACTAGTTTCCTGGCAGCGGCTCCTTCTCTAGCCAGTGTTTGGAGACAGGGTTGTTTCCCTCTTGCTGCAGTTTGTTCCACGGATGTGGGGGTGTGCATCTCCCAGCAGTTCTGGTTCTTCAGCCAGTGGACAAGGCCAGAATCTCTTGCATTAGGCGCAACGTCCCAGGAGCTGAAAAGCCACAGAGCAGCCTTCTTCAGCCTGCAGTCATCCAGATGGATTTGACTACAACTCTTATCATCATTGGCTAGCATGGCCACCATTTCTCAAACTGTCCCCAAAGTAGGGAAATTAGAAGGGGTCAGACATTGCTCAGCCTGGTCCATCCCCTTAACACAGCTGTGAAAGTTACTTCTGCCTGCACTGCACAGTTGTTGTGCATTCCAGAGCAAGCAATGCTGGCTCACAACCCACCTGCAGGATGGAAATGCAAGTTGCCACTTGATTTTGATCAAGGGCGTAAATGGAAGCATTTGCCTGTTTTGGGGTGAGCAAGGGATTTGCCAACCTAGAGGCTGGGTTTGGGTTTTCAAATGCTGACAGGGTTGGCAAACAACAGCGATGCATTAATTGTTGGGGATAATGGGAATTGTACTCCCTGGACTGTGGATAGGGAAGGTGCCTAAGAGGGAAGCAAAACAGGGTGGGATGGTCTTAAAGCAAATATGCATTTGATGTGTGATATGCAAATAACAATAAAAGTCTCTGTCCATGCAATGAGTGCATATTAAATATTTATACAAGGATTGAGTCAGAGGATTGAAATGCCATCAAGCTATGCAATTACAAGCAGTAAAATGGAAGCCTTAAAAGGCTTTTTTAAAATGATGTAACTGGAAGGAAAAATGTGCATAAATCAGAATGGAAATAAAGTTTAAAAGGTAATGAAAGGAGGGAATCAACCAAGTTTGCAAAATAACCGGAAGTACAGGCTTGAAGGCCAAAGCACGGCCTCTATAATTTTCTTAAGCCTATGCACTGGGGCAGAATGGATCACTGAACTGTCCGTCAGCTGACGTGAAGCCGGTCCAAGGAGCAAAATAGAGAAGGAGGCGGAACCTGATGCGCTGCCAACCTATCCAAGGGAACGGCCGGTGCCTCTCGGCGTCTCTCTCTCAGCGCGAGCGAGCGCAATCGGGGCGACGACGCTGTGCCTAGCCAATGGGAAGCTGCGGCGAGGCTTGGCAGGGAAGCTTCGAACACTGGAAGCGGGAAGGCGGTGCTGCCGCTGCTGCAGTTGCCGCGGCCGTGAGGGGGTCACGGTGGGCCCGCGCTCCGTAGCCCGGAAGCCGTGACGGAAACGAGGCGAGCCCGGGCCCCGGGGAGGGAATGGCAGAGGCCGCGGCTTGCTTTGAGGGCGCGGCGTGTGCGCGGCCCTTGCGTTGAGCATGCGCAGATGGGCTCCACCGTCCCCTTGGCCGCCCTCTGCTGGTAGAATGCGGTCAGGCGCTCTACAGCTCGCGGAGAAGCTCTGCGATGCGCTGCGTGGCGAAGAGGACACGTAAGTGCACGTGTGCAGGCTGCCCTACATGTGTATTGGGGGCTTCTGTTTGCGCGGTGGGATGGGTGGGTTATTGTTGCCTGCTTGTTTGCACAAGTACATTTAATCTGTGGTGTCTTCTTTGTGGAAGGGCTCTTTTTGTTGGTTTTGTTTGCAAAAGGGGGATTACTCGCACAAACAAAAATGACCCATCTTTCCCTCAAGTAGGGATTTTGATCCATGTTAGATGTCACTTTCAGGCTGTTTTAATCGACAACTGGAGTACTAATCAAAGGCATTGTTGCTGCTGTTACAATCCCCGAGGTTGCAATCCTGTGCAAGTTTAGGCAGACAACAGTGCTGGTGTCAAGAGTGAAAACACCACCCAGAGATTGTCCGCTGGGGGTGTCCTATCAAAACATTTACAGTTTCTTCAGACATACAGGAAATACACGCATGTTGGCAGCCCCCAAAGGGACCACCAAGATGGGGACTGTCAAGACCCTTTTATAATCTACCAGTTACATGCACGGTTTGGGGGAGGAGATCACGCAGGCAGTTTGCTAGTGGCACATGGTGGCGGGGGCGGGGGGAGGTTAGGCCAACACAAAGAGAAGGACCTTCAGGACAGGTAAACAATCAACTTTCCTTAGAATGTACCCCAAAAGAAGACAGAGACATTAGCATTTCTAAGGTGTATGTAGGAGGCAGTTTTGCAACATGGACTCCTGGTCAGATCAAGAATCCTACCTTTGTCTAAAACTGTTTTTACAATGTCAGGCTTTTAGCAGCCATATTGCAGCAGAGGACATCTTGCTCTGACACTGTGCATTGTCTAATTGTGGTCTGTCTTAGCAGACACAGGCCTGTGTCCTCACTCATATTAAAAAGACCCAAAGAGGTTTACAAGAGAGTGGTTATAATATGCATAATGCAGTATATTTTGGGGGAAAAGTACCTACTAAAAATAAAAAATGTGATATCTGCAAGCCATTTATTTGTTTGCAAACAAGGCTTTTATTTTATTTGCATGTTTTAAAAAACTTGTTTCTGCCAGAGAAATTCCCATCTGCAATTGAACTTGGTTCATTTGTTGGCTGGTTTTTGCTTCAAGTGTGGGCTTTTCTTCCATACTTCCACACTTTTCTTCCTGTGTGCACCCAGGGTCACCATTAGAAGAGATGATGAAAACTAGCATTTTGCAAAACTGGTGTGAAGATTGTAAGCAGAAAGGGGGAGCTTGAACCCTTTTGGAGGGTTTTCTCTCTGCCTTGAAGCTTTTGCCCTTGCTTTCCAGGATGGTGGAAGCCCTCCTGCAAAGGGGTGCTGACCCCAATTTGGTTCTGCCTGAGGGGATGGCTGCTATCCACCTGGCTGCTGGCGTGGAGCAGGAGAGCGGCATTCGATGTCTCCATCTCATTCTCCAGCATGGCGGAGACCCCAATGTTAGGTACTGTGGACTGGGAGAGGATTTCTGAACCTGCCCCTGGGATCTTTCTGGATGTGCAAAGCTGCCATGTCCTGTGTCAGGCTGTGGATACCCACCTGTGTTAACCTTGCCCCAACTCCGCAGATGTTTTGGACTACAAGGCTCAACATCTGTAACTCTTAGCTGTATCAGTCTGGGCTGATGGCATTGGCAAGCTGGAGGAGCAACAGGTTGGGGACCACTAGTCTCTGTTACCTTCCTCCAATCTAGAAGGCTCTAGATGCTTAGGACCACAATTCCCATCATCCATGGCCCATTTGCCTTGCTGGCTGAGACTGACTGGGGGCAGAATAGTCACTTCTGTTCTTTCCCGTGGAATCCACTGAAGCTCTCAATGGCACTGGCAGGAAACACTGTGGAGCTGTACAGACCCAGCTTGGCCTGAGCCGATATGGTTCTGCTCACGTTCCGAAAGAGTTCTGTCATTGTCCTGATGTGTGTGAATGCTAGTGGTGCCCCATAGTGGAAGGGGTGCTGCATTTCTGGATGTAGGTTTTCTGGAAGTATTTTGTTGGCTCTCTCAGAAACCAAGATATTGGCCTGATGGAGCACCTCTTGATGTTCTTCAGCTCTTGGTGTGTGTTAGAAAAGAAGCATCTGTTCATCCTGCATTCCTTTTTCACAGGTCTGTGGAGGATCTTACCCCGCTGCATGTTGCGGCATCCTGGGGGTGCTACACTTGCTTAAGGCTCTTGCTGAAGGCCGGAGGGAATGCCTGGCTCAAAGATCAGGTGAGTCCAGAGTGGGACATTGGATGTGGCTGGTGGGGGACCTCCTTTGCAGCTGCTTCTTTGGGAGTGTGACTGCTTAGCAGAGCCTTTCCTCCACATGCTTTGGATTCCAGCTCTGGCCAGCATGCTCAGTGTGTGTAGGCAGACTACGGCTGTTCTTGTGTCCCTAAAATCTGAATTTTCAGAAAAGAGGAGGGAACTGATCCTTAAAGTACACATTTGGCTCTTTGATCACAGGCAGACAGATGGCTGGGCAGTGCTGAATTTCTGCTTGTTTTCTGCCAGGGGGCCGGGTGGAATCTAAAGAAATGCTGGCAACTTTTTTTTTCATTTGTCTCTGCTCAAAAGCCCCCCCCCCACACACACACGTCTAAGCTGAGCCTTTGTTGAAACTAGATGCTAAGTTGGAACAAAAAACACCAAGATGCATTCAACACATTTCATTTGGCAGAACATAGTGTGGTGCAACGGAGCCAAGCAGTGGCTCTTCCAATCGCTTGCTAAGTGCTGCGGCCAGGAAAACATTTTCTGGCATCTCCAGGGTCAGGGTTAGGCTCTTCCGAGCCCCTGGGTCCTTGGCATATGCTCAGCTCTTCCAGCTTCTTGACTCTCTGCCCTCCATTTTGAAATGGTACAGGCCAACTTGCATTCAGTTCTGCCTCTACTACTGCTTACAGTTTCAGGGATCCCTTGTGCACATGACAGGTATGACATTCATGAAAGCCAAACTCAGTAAACCAACTGGTTAAATTCTGACACACTGGCCTGTGTTAAACAATGAGAATGGAGAAGCGATTCTCACTCTTGGGGGCCTGTTTGTGTGTCATTCTTGCACATGGGCCCAGTTCCAGAGTTTGCAGTAACCATTGCTTATAACTTAAGTCATGGTTTGAGCCTTCAGATGTACATGAGGCAAACTGATTTGGGCTGGCCTGTCTTCTTTCTCTTTCCGTCTGCTGGGCACTCTTGTCTCTGTCAGCAGCAGCTGCTTCTGGTGGAGTGCAGGTTCAGACGCTACACCAAACCAGCACTGGCACTTTTGAAAATCCACTTCCAGCCATGGTGGCTGACTCTAATTCGGCTGCCGATTGCAACACAATCTCACTGCATGTCAACATGGCCCCTGCAGCTTGAGTACTTGACAGGCTACTAAACAGGGTGTGGTCCACATGGAAGGACCCAGCAAGCCAAAGGCAGTAAGGATTGTTCCTGTCTCTAGGATGGGAACACAGCCCTCGATCTGGCTTTGGAGCAGGGTAACAAGATGTGTGTCCGTATCCTGCAGAGTTCCCTGGAAGAAATGGACAAGGAGCAAAACATCTGGATGCGTAAGTGCCAGGAGTCATCTAAACCCACATATCTGAAACTTGTCAGCTTTATTTTTGTATCACCTGGTTTAAGTATAACATTGTGTTGTTTGCCTCTCTTTTATTCAGCTGAGCGAAGAGCAGAAAGCTTTCTTACCACCATAACAGAAGACTTTTCTGAAACCGGTGGTGTTTCACAGCTTTGCAATGCCCATCCCAGCACATCTGGGCAGATCCCACAGTCGAATGGGGCTCCTCTGCACGTGGTGCCCTGCCGTTCCTTCGCTCTCACTGCTGCACCTGGCAGTCCCCCAGGGGATCACCAGGAGGAGAACTGCTCCCTGGAGGACCGGCGCTCGGCTTCGTTCCTGACGGAGTGCTCCTGGCCATGCAGCATGCTCTCTGAGCAGCATGACCTCCATGCTCAGCTGGGAGCCTCATCCAGCCCCTCATTCACACGTGGCAATGTCAGTGGGCCCACCCGGGACTGTTCTGCAGTGTGGGGCTGCCCCAGAGATGGGCCTGTGCACCGCATGGGGGGTGCAGCTCCATTTCACTGTGCTGAAGCTGCCGCAGTTGCTGCGCGCAGTTTGTCTCTAGGCCTGAACGGTGCCCTCTGCCATGCCAAGCCTTGCACATCCAGGGCACACCCTGAAACGCCAGGCATTACTGAGTCCCACCAGGCCCTCTCCAGCTGTGTAATTACATCTGAATGCAAAGCAGAGCACCTTCCTGGCATTCGGGGTAGCAATGTTGCCCTTGACCCTTCCTGGCACAGCAGCTTCCTTGACCCAGACCTCATGGTGGAGCTGTCTGGCCAGGAAGGATTGGACGTCACGTCGCCTGATCATGCCTACGTCTTCTCCTGGGCAAACTCCGCAGCTGTGTCAGACTTGGAGAAGACCGTGGCTGAGCCGGTTTTGCTCTCCAGGGCCTGTGGGAGCCCAGAGGGGCCTTCTGCAAGCGGGGAGCCACTGGGCAGGAGGACTGATGGCGGTGGCAGCAGCCCGCTCAGTCTGAGCCACAGCAAACGCCGTGTGAGTGCTGCTGAAGACCAGTGTTGCCATGAGGCTCGGGGACACAGGGAGCGGGCAGCCTGCTTCGCCCAGGCACCAGGCATCCCGGCAAGTAGTGGCAACCACAGCTTGCTGGCACAGCCTTGCCACAGCCCCCACGAGCTTGTCGAGACACCAGAGGCAGGCAGCTTTGGCGAGCGGCCCTCTCCTGCCCGGGCCGGGGGTCTGCTGCCTTCGCAGAATGGGGCTGCTTTGAGACAAGCTCCTTCCAGGACGTCTGCTGAGCAGCTTGCTTTGGATCTCTGTGGCAATGGAAGCAATGAATACACCAGAAACTGCCCCGAGCCAGCTCTCCCCAGAATGTCCCCAGCTGGGAGTCTTGCCAAGTGGGACAAGCAGGAGCAGGATCCACAGCCATTGCCGGAATCGTGGGAAAAAATACAGTCTGGGGCAGAGAGCAAACTCCTTCCAGGTTCCTCTGATGCAACTGATGAACGAGTCGCTTCTCAGCAGCCCCAGGGTGTGCTCAAAGGAGCCATCATGCCATCTGTGGCTTGGGCAGAGCCGACCAGGGAAGAATCTGATCTCTCAGCAGGTTCCCCAGAGGTGGAGGGAAGGAAGAGCCTGCACACTCGGGACACAGTCCTTACTCTAAGGGCGCCGGAAGAAACACAGGCTTTTCCAGGCAGCCAGAGCCCTGAGGTCCCCATGACGGCTGGGGATGTGGATGACACCGTTGTGGTCTCAGACCAAATGGTGGGTGATACGATGGTCATCCCCAGCGCCAAGGAAGAGGCGTCCAGCTTGGAAGCAAGGCTGAGGTCAATGATGCTCGCCACCAGGGTTTGCCACTCTCCTCTGCTGCGGCAGAACGGCAGGCCCGGCCACGTCACACCCCGGACCAAAAGCCGAGTGACAGTGTCAACAATGCACTGCAGCAGCGCCACCCCGTCCCTGTTTGATGACACCCTGGAGATGCCCCGGCGGCCCAGGCGACGGAGGGGCCCCGAGGGGAGCAGCCCAGCCTCCAGAGAAGCACAGAAGCGGCCAGAGGGCACAAGGTCTGGGGAGCCTCCCTCCATGGCAGGAGCAGGGGCAGCTGAGCCGGGGATTACCCAGGCCAATTCAGATGGAGGCCTGCAGTTAAGCCCACCAGGCCCGCCCATCCCGAGCCCAGTGGTGCCCCTGAACCCAGGGGGAGACTTCGCGCAGTGTGGAGGCCAGTCGGGCTCTGCCTGCTCTCCGGCTGCAGGGACGGGTGAGCAGCCGGCCAGCGGTGGTGAGGGGGAAAAGCGGGGTGCTGCACCCCCTGGGAGTGATCCCCACCAGTCAGGTGCCCTGTGCAGCATGGCCAGGGGGCTCCCCAAGCCCTCCAGGATCAGCTTCAGCAGGATATCTGGCAGAAGGCAGCTCTCTGGAGCACCAGACCTTATCAGCCAGGGGGTCCGTTTGTCACCCGGTGGCCGACCGGTGAACCTGAGCGTCATCGAGCCAGTGCAGCACCTGTATGTGGACGAGGATGAAGGCCACACACTCATCGAGCGGCACGTTCCATGCTCGGACAATTCTGTTGCTGGTGGTTCCAGTTCTGAAGACACTATCATCTACAACTGGCAGGTGTATATGGGCCCAGCAGCAGGGCAGGAATATGTGGGGGGCGTCCCCCTGCAGGCCTCCCCACAGCCGAGCCACCTTTCAGATGAAGCTCTAGCCCGCAAGCTGCGTGACTTTGGGGTCAGCCCAGGACCCATGACGGGCCTCACTAGGAAGGTTTACTTGCAGCTGCTGGAGAAGCTGATGAGAGACCCCAAAGCCAAGGCCCGGAAAGGGTTTGCAGGTGGGTGGCTGCCCTTGCCAGGTACCTCACAAATGTGCTGCAGAATCTGGGCAGCCTGCACAGTGACCAGCTGGGGGTATGTGGTCTGACGTGCTCCCGGGGCCTGTGGTGAGAGGGAGGGCCGAACAGCCCTGGGATGGCTTCAGACCCTACATCCCGCCTCTTTCCACATGTGCTGGGTTATATGCTAATGCACTTGTCTTTCTGCCTGGGGTTTTGGGGCATTCTCTGATATGGCCAGGCTACAGCCCGGAACTTTCTTATGCCTTGGAAACATACCAGATACCAGATGGCTGCGATGACGAGATGGCTCTGGCCAGGCAGTTTGACCAGCCGGACAAGAGCAAGAGGTGGCGGGAAGGCGTGCTGAAGTCTAGCTTCAACTACCTGCTCTTGGACCCCAGGTGAGATCTCTCCCGACGCCACAGTCTCTTTTCCTGCATGCTGCCTGGGGAGAAAGACGGGGTTCTCCCCTCCTTGCAGGCCTGTGATCAGCTGGGAGAGGGCTGGGTGTTGTTTGGCTAACCCCACCTGCTTGTCTCACTGTTTCTGCCTCAAGAACTTTGCCTCTCGCTCCCCTCTTTGGTCCCCCAAGATTTGCCAAGATCAGGAAGGTACTGAGCCCTTCATCTTGCGCCAGTGGAGTTGCTTGATGCGTCCCAGGGCGGGTCCGGCTTCCCCTGGCCTAATGCAGTTCAGTCATCCTGGGCTGCAGCTCCTGCCATTCCTGGCCAGCATGGCCATTAGCTGTTCCGGCTCCTGTGCGTCTGCCAGGCTGGACTTGGTATCTGAGATTTGGAAGCACCAAACGTCTGGACATCCCATCTCATCTGCACTGATTGCCTGTGTTTCTCCAGGGTTTCAGGCAGCGGGTGGAGGTGCCAGGGGTGGAACCTGGACCGCCTGCCTGGAAACAAGTGTCCCATAACTTAGTTTGCAGCCCTGCCTCTAAATATAAAGTTGTCAGCAACAGGGGAAACTGCCTCATAAGGGACTTTCTCTGCACACAGCATGAACTATTTTGTTTACCAATGAGTTCCTGAAATAGTAAAGGCTCTCAGCTTTGTGGATTACTTAGGTCTGCTGCAGGATGAAGACAAGCAACGTTCTTGGGATTTATGATCTAAAAGATGGCACAAAAGTAAAGTGGATGGGGAGGGAGGAGGAAAAAAGTAGATTCAGTGTCCTGGTTGCAGAGTTCAGCAGGTCATGGGCACAGTGAGTGGCCTGCTGCCTCCGCTCCATTTTGGGACCTCAGCAGTGACAATTTGAAACTTCTCTTCCCCATGTGCCATCTTCCTCTTGTCAATTGCCTCTTGGTTCCTCTTATCTCATCTCCTGCCGGGGCTCTTTCTCAGGGTGACCCAGAACCTGCCCTTCCGCTGCCAGTTTGTGAGCCAGGCAGAATGTTTCCGGACCTTCATCAGCGCCATTTTCTACGTGGGCAAGGGAAAGCGCTCCAGGCCATATTCGCACCTCTATGAAGCCCTGACCTGCTACAAAGATGGCCGGGGAAGGCGGGGTGGCCAGGTACACACCACAGGGAACCAGCTTCTGGGGGGTGTGGGTGACCTCACCTGCAGCGTCTTTCCTCTCGTAGACAGACTAATGGGGAACAGAGAGGCGGAGGCCCTCAACAGTAATTGGCTGTGGCAGGTTGGTGGTGCCCCCAGGTCTGCTCTTGGGTGGTGCCAGGTGCGGGAGCCTCTTTCAGCCGGAAGGGGAATCTCTTTCTGGAGAGCTTTTGGGGGCTGCATTCCAGTGCTGTGCAGAGCAAAGGCAGAGGGAGCGAAGCCAGAAATACCAGCCGTGTCCACACATGTTCGCTGTGAGCTCCGGCTGCTGCTCGCTGTGCCTCGGAAGCGTTTCAGCTGTGAGCACTCGGGAGGTTGGCTGGGCTTGTGCAAAGCCACTGCTGCTGTGTGTGGGTGTCCCTGTGAGAGCAAGGCGTCTGCGTGGGGGCGGGGCATGCTGACTTCCTCCCTGTGTGGCCCGCACTGTCGCTGAGTGCCCTCTCCCTCCGCAGGCCTGCTCCAAGCCCCAGCACATCCTGGAGAGCTGGGCCAGTGGGGAGGGCGTCATTTCTGTGCACTGCTTCCAGAACGTCATCCCTGTGGAGGCCTACACGCGAGAGGCCTGCATGCTGGACGCCATGGGTAAGGTCTGCTGGGTGGCAGCCCGTTCGCACCATCCCGCTCCCCGTGTGGCAGGTGTGCAGGCGGCATCTTGGGGTTCCAGCAGCAGCGTAGCCGGGCTTGCTCAGAGGGCTTCACAGAGAACCAGGTGAAAGTGGCCGGAGCCATTCCTTACAGGCTGTGCTGACTCCGGCTGCAGAGTCAGAGCTGGAGAGGGTGGCTCAGGGGCCATGCAGCCCAGCCTCATGCATGATGCCGGCAGGTCCGGATGAGGAGGCCCTGATCCTCGGCCACCAGCCCCTGCTTGCACGTCTCCTGCAAGGGGAGTCCCTCTGCCCCCAAGGCACTGACACGGGGTTACCTCATGGCTGGTTGAAGCTACCCTTGGCACTGCTTTTGCCCGCTGCAGCAGCAACAGTTTTTGCCCTCTCCTGTGTTGCAGCCTTGGGGATTTGAAGAGTACAGTTGTGGCTCTGCGTGTGAGCACACAGACATGGCTAAAAATACCTCACCTTCAAACCTCCCTTGTACTGTGCAAGGTGCACAGGTTATGTCTCTGAACCAAAAGCTCACCAGCAGCTTGCCTGAGCAGAGCAAGGCACTTTTTCCAGGGGTGTTCCACTTAAAACCCCACGGTTTTTTCCACCCAGGTGTCCATGGTCCAGGTAGCGGGTCTTGGGCTCTTGGTTTCCCCCTTCTCTCTTTCAAAGCAACAACTATTCTTTGGCAAAAGGTCTTTATTCTCCCTTGTACATCCAGCAAAGTATCATCAGCAAGGAAAGAGTTTCTCAGAGCACTTGCACAGGGCAGTTTGCTGAACCCAGTCTAGCACCCGCTTGCAAGAGCCCTCCTTCTGAGTAACCCTGGGGCGCTCCTCTCTGTGTAGTCTCCCTCGCTGGCTCGCCCTTCTCTTCAGATACTGGACCATGGCGTCAGGGTCAAGGGTCGCACCAGGCTCTCTGGTGCCTGCAGCTCCTTTCCCATGCCTGCTCTTGGCACTTGCTGCCTCTGATGGTTTTCACGGTCTGCCTGAACACCTGAGACCCCTGCCTTGAGGTAGGCTCTCCTTTCTTGGCCGCCTATACATCTGGAGGCCTCAGTTCCCAGGCCCATCTCCCCATTTGGAGAGTTGGGGTCCCCTGGCATGCACGCTGAGAACAGCTGCCTCTTTCCTTCCGAACAGGGAGCAGGGCAAGGGGATGGACTCCCCCGTGCCTGTGACCCGTTGGATTGCCAGAGAGTGAACCTGGGGCATTCTCACCATATGAACCATGTGTTCCGGGCTCTCCCAGGTTCCTGATATGGTTGGCGTGATTGGACAGAGGCGACATCAGTCATTTTTAAGGCACATCCCACCTGATATGTCAAACAATTGAAGGTCACCTGCCAGCCTGCCTCTCCTTTCCTCTCACATGCTTGAGTGGTTTCCCCCTTTCCCTTCAGGTCTGAAGATGCTGACCAACCAGAAGAAGGGGGATTACTATGGTGTTGCCGCAAACTGGCCGATGAAGCAGCGCCGGCGCCTGGGCATCTACCTTCTGCACAGAGCCATGCAGATCTTCCTGGCAGAGGGAGAGCGGCAGCTGCGTCCTGCTGACATCTGAGCCACCTGGTGATGGAGAGGTGCCCAGGTGATCCAGAGTCCCTGTGGGGCCTTCATACACTGCCCTTGGCTGAGTGGATTGGCATCGTCCTCTCTCCTGTGTGGGACTGATCACAGCATGCCTGATACATCACTCCTGGCCTTGTCTGCCATGTGGGAACGGAGTACCTGGCTGATGAGAGCTTGACATAAGTGAGGGTTGGGGTTCCCATTGTGCATGAGCTACCTGTGCCAAGCCCCAGCAAGCCAGTGATTAAAAGTGCTTGCTGGCCCGGCTATGGTGGCCTGCTTGCCTCGCTCGCGTGGGAGCCTGGCTGGGTCTTGGCATTGTGAAGTGGTGTCCTTCTGGGGTAACGGCAGCATTAAGGAATGTGGGAAGAGAGAGGGCTTCGGAGTAGGTTTCAATGGTGTGCCTGGTGTGTTCTTGCAAGGGACATAGGAAGCTTTTCCTCTGTGTTTTGAAATGTTTACTTGAGAGCCTTGTCCTTTCCAGACGAGTGGTCTTACTGGGAGCAGACGGGATGAGCATTCTTCTCTGCGTCTTTAATGGGTCCCCCCGCACTGGCTCTGCTTCCCATTCTCGGAAAGGCTTTTCTGTGTGGCAGCAGAAAATGCTGTTTCTAAAGGAACTCTATAATGAATGCTTTTGTACTTTTTTACAGTTTTCTAGTCGAAATTTTTCTGGGATTCCTTGGAATTGGTATAATAAAAGGTGATTGCTCAGATCGGCCTGTGGTGTTTGATTCAACCCTTACGAGGCCGGCTGGTTTCCTTCTTGGCTTGCGCAGCCCAGAGGTGTGGGGTGCTCTCCAGCCAAGCAGAGGGCTTTGCAGGTCCCCTTCGCAGTGCCTGGAACTCTGGAGCAGAATCACTTGGATTCTTAAACAAAGCACCACTACAATCTAGGTCACTTCTAGCTGACTTCTGGCTCCCTCCCGGTAGAATTCCTGAAGCAGGGCCTGGACAGTGGAGACTGCCTCTTTGAATTTCTAGCACTGAAATGAAGCTGGATCCACCCTGCTTCCAATTTGAGGATTTTATGAATTTCAGGATTTTATGTAAAAGATGGTCTTTCAGACTTTCATACCTCTTGGTGATACAAAATAGAAGTAATGTCCCTCCCGTGTATTCTCTCTCTCAGCCTTGCATGGCTGTTGTGAGAATGGGGGAAGGGCGGGATAACAATATGGCCAGACTGATCCTGCGATGTTGCCTTAATCTTAGAAACATAGAAACAAAGCGAGCCAGAAGGGGTCTCCTGGGCCATCTAGTCTGACCCCTGACTCCAGCTGCCTCCGCTCACGACATGCCCACCATGTGCACGTCCAGCCTATCCTTGAACACCCGCACCGATGGGGCCTCAACCACCTCCCAGGGAAGCCCATTCCACACCCTCAGGGTCCTGACTGTCAGGAAGGGCTTCCTGGCATCCAAATGGAACCTGGGTTCCCTGAGCTTGGCTCCGTGGGAGCGCGTCCTGCCTTCCTCTGCAGGGGAGAACAGGTCTCTCCCCACCTCCTTGTGATACCCCCTCAGATCCCCTCTGAGTCTCCTCTTCTCCAGGCTGAAGAGACCCAGTTCCCTCAGTCTCGCCTCATACAGCATCCCCTGCAAACCGGCCACCAACCTTGTGGCCCTACGCTGCACTGACTCCAACCTGGCTATATCCTTTCTGTAATGAGGGGCCCAGAACTGAGCATAATACTCCAGTTGTAGGCGCTCCAGAGTCATATATGGTGGTATTAATACCTCTCTCGATCTAGAAGCCACACTTCTGGCCATGCAACCAAGGGTGGCGTTCGCCCTCTTGACCACCGCATCACACTGCTGACTCAAGTTCAGCCTGCAGTCAACCAGCACCCCGAGGTCCCTTTCACAAGCGCTGCTCTCCAGCCACTTGTCCCCTAACCTGCACTTATGACACCCTTTCCTATGCCCCAAGTGCAAGACCCACTTTGAATGCCACCCTGTTGTCTCCTGCCCACTTCCATAGTCTGTCCAGATCCTTTTGGATCTGGAGTACCTGCTCCTCAGTTGTGGCCACTGCTCCTGTTTTAGTGTCGTCTGCAAATTTGATCAGCAGACTGTTCACCCCTTCTTCCATGTCGTTAATGAAAAGATTAAACAGGATCCTGGGGACCCCGCTTGTCCCTGGCTGCCATCCCGATGATTCCCCACTAATGGTTACCTTCTGCTTTCGGTCATTCAACCATGCCCTAATCCACCGGACAGAGCTTTGGTGTATCCCAAAACTCCTCAGTTGCTCCACCAGGGTATCATGGGGCACTTTGTCAAAGGCCTTGCTGAAATCCAGGTAAACCACATCCACTGCATCTCCTCCATCCAGCCGTCTCGAAACCTTGTCACAGAATTCCACCAGGTTTGTCTGGCAGGACCTGTTTTTGCGGAAGCCGTGTTGTGTGGCCGCCAGCCTCCCCTCCCTATCCAGCATCACTAGATCTCTCTCTATTAGGAGCCTTTCCATTGTTTTTCCTACAATGGACATAAGGCTAACAGGTCTGTAACTCCCCATGTCCCTTCTACTGCCCTTTTTGAAAATTGGGACCACTGATGCCACCCTCCAGTCCTCTGGAACTTCACCCGTTCTCCACGAGGCCTCAAAAATGGAGGCCAGCGGGCGTGAGGGAACCCCTGCCAACTCTCTAAGTACTCTCGGGTGTAACCCGTCAGGGCCTGGCGCCTTTGTAATGTCCAATGCCCTGAGGGGCCCCTTGACTCCCGGGGGGGTGACTCTAATCTGTGCCCCTAAGTCTCCAGCCTCATCTAATCTCCTATGCGGAGCTCCCCCGTCCTGCTTTGGGGAGAACACAGAGGCAAAATAGTTATTTAGTATCAGTCACTGGATCTCCTTCCTCCTTATTTAGTGGTCCCACCACTTGTCTCCCCTTCCTCTCCCTATTTACCTGCTGAAAGAAGCCCTTTTTGTTGTTCTTGATATTCTTGGCAAGTGTCAGCTCATAATCAACCTTAGGCTTGCGAAGAATCCTTCTGCAACGGGCCTCCTCCTCCCGGTAGACCCTTTTGTCTACCTGCCCCAGTACCCATTTCCTACGGAGGTTCCTCTTGCGTCTAATCCCTCTAACCACCTTTTTGCATCCATGGCGGCGCTCTCCTCCGCCTCCCCACCTTACTGACTAGAGGTATCGTCAAGGCTTGCGCCTCCAAAACCTCCCTTTTGAGTGCCAGCCACCCCTCCGCAACTCGCTTGCCTTCCAGTAACCCATCCCAGGAGACTTTCCCCAGTCTGGCCTTCAGTTGGCCAAAGTCGGCCCTCTTGAAAGTTGGCCCTCATCTTATCAGTCATGCAGCTGCTTGCGGGTGCCCGGTGTGCATCTGGCCAGCCACAGTGTGAACAGGATGATGGGCAGAGGTGCCCGGCCTGGTGTTTTTCATACTGCCCTGATGGCAGGCAGACCAGAGCTTGTTGTCTTGCTTGCCAACAGAGTGGCCTCCCCAACTGTGGTGTCTTCTCCATGTGTGGGTCTCCAACTCCCACAAGCCTTTGCTGTTTTCAATGTGAGATGGAAGAAAAAGAGAGGTAAGGAAATTGGATTATGTTAATCTGAGGCTCAGTAAGGCCTGTGGTTTCCAAGCTCTCGATAAAGGACTTCCACATGTGTATATCTGAGGAGGGCCTTCCTGTGCCAGACCAAAGCAGGTGTCCAGCTTCCAGCCCAGGGCAGACAAATGCCTCTGTGTGAGTCTCACCAGCCAGGGGGCAGGAGTGGACAACCTCTGCCCTTGTTTGTTACCAGGAGGTGATGCTTTAACACAGGGACTGAGCAACTTGTGTTGGCTTATGGCTTCCATCTCTCCTTACTGACCAGGACTGGAGGACATTGTCAGCCAAACATCTGGTGAGCCTCAATTTGCTTGCCTTCCGCTGGAGAGGTTACTTCTGGCCCATTTTAAACTGGCAGTGGCTAATAGTTCTTCGCAAACATGGCTGGCTGAGGCATGATGGGAGTTGTTGAACATATCTGGAAGGCCCCCATTTCTGGGTAGAGATGTGTTCTGTGCGGGTGCTGGGGTGCAGTTTGTCCTAGATCTCTTCGTCTGAACCATCCCAATCTTCCTGTTAGGTCGATTCAAAAATGAGTCCATTTCTTGATAATGTAACACTTTTTTATTTAATCTGAGAGTCTGGATGGAACGACACAAGTGATCTGCCCCATTTCATTTCATCAGCCTGGCAGGGATGGGCAGGTTGGGGTTTTGGAATTCCAAAGCCAGGCTGCAGTACAACTTCAAGCAGGCCAACAGTCATCCTAGAATACAGCTTAGTGAGGCCTGAGAAGTTTCTTGGCTGCAGTTGTGTGCACTCTCAACTTGGGTCAGAAAACACCTTTTTATGCTGCAAAAAAACAGCATGCTTGTCTTGCTCAGACAGACACGGCAGATTCAGCTTTCAGCTTTGGAAATGACAAAATCTTGAATTCCAGCAATGCAAATGGCTTAACCCTCTGGGAGGCCCCTTGCCTCCTCAGGAGCCAGAAGTTGGCAGGGTTGCGGGCTGGAGAAACATTGAAGTTTCAGGACCAATGAACCTGGGTTTTTGCAGCAGCCATCTGACCCCATGATGCCTCCTTTTACCTTCAGCTGATACGAAAATTGCTGCATTAGTTGTGTCCCCACCATCCTCGCTATCCAGCACTGATCTCGCTATCCCCTAGTGTGACTAAACCCTGGATTATGGTTAGGTACATCCTGCAAAAGCCTTCACGAAATGTACTTTAAAGGATGCAAATCCAGCTTGGATCGGGGCCACTTGTGAAGCAAGTGTAAGAATTACAGCAATCTAGTCAACTGCTTAATACTTCCTTTTTTAAAGGTCATACATGTCAAAATACAGATCTGTATTAAATATCCATATCTGCAGTTGAAAATTGTACTAGTATTATTCACCAGGATGTGTATCTTCCTAAAATCACAGGAATGAGGTTTTGCTTCCATAATGGGATGTATGTTTTGTTTTTTACTTTTTTGTGCATGGCTGAAATATCAGTGAAACTGACATGTACTGACAAGCTGATAACTGTTTGGCAAGTGAGAAGATGAGTTAGACAGACTAAAACACACACACCCCTGGAATTAATACTTGTAGGAGTTCAGGGAATCATAGCGTAGGAGTATCGGAAGGGGCCAGTAAGACCATTGAGCCCAACCCTGTGCAGGTTGCTGCTTGTTCTGGATGATGCTCCCCTATCTTGACAGTTGTACAAAACCCCTCCAAAAGAAGCACGGGGAGAGAGCCAGTTTCCCAAGCACCTGGGCCGGCATTGCCCATGAATGCCCCCTCCCTGCAGCTACAGTGCTGGCTCACTCGTTGTGGAGTCTGTTACCCACAGGATGCCTGCCATCTGATGTGTTGTGATCATAATTGTTCCAGAACTGTGCTGGACTTATCTTTGCCTGCACTGCAGGGAGTCCAAGTGAATGGCAGCTTCCAGCAGGTAGTCCAGTGTCACATAGGTTTTGGGGAAAAAGCAAACTTGTATGATCCCCCTACCTTCTTGGAAAACAGTATCCAATTTCACAACTATCCAGGTGTGGACAAAGGGAAGGTCATTGATTGCAGGTTTTGTGTGTGTGCCTGATCAAGAACCCCAATGAGGTCTGGAAACTTGCCACGTTGCATTACAACTTTCTGCTGCAAGAATGACCTCGTGCTACTGTTGGGTGCTGCCTGCCCGCAGAGTGTTCTCCAGGATACCTTTCCCTTCAGAGAGTTTAACCCTGACTCTGTGAGAATAGGAATCTGCCTGGCACTGAATCACTTACCTTGGTCCATCTGGCAGCAGCCACTTTCCAGGGTTCCCTGCAGGGTTATTTCCACCCTTACATAGAGCTGCTGGGAAGCTGGGCCAGCAAGGTCTCCCACTTGGGGCATAGGAAGGGGTGTCATAAGTGCAGGTTAGGGGACAAGTGGCTGGAGAGCAGCACTTGTGAAAGGGACCTCGGGGCGCTGGTTGAATGCAGGCTGAACACAAGCCAGCCGTGTGATGCAGTGGCCAAGAGGGCGAATGCCACCCTTGGTTGCATGGCCAGAAGTGTGGCTTCTAGATCGAGAGGGGTATTACTGCCACTCTATATGACTCTGGTGCACCCGCAACTGGAGTATTGTGCGCAATTCTGGGCCCCTCGTTACAGAAAGCACACAGCCACGTTGGAGTCAGTGCAGCGTAGGGCCACACGGTTGGTGGCCGGTTTGCAGGGGATGCCGTATGAGGCGAGACTGAGGGAACTGGGTCTCTTCAGCTGGAGGAGACTCAGAGGGGATGTGCTGGCGACGTACAGGTATGTGAGGGGGTGTCACACGGAGGTGGGCAGAGACCTGCTCTCCCCTGCAGAGGAAGGCAGGACGCGCTCCAAGGGAGCCAAGCTCAGGGAACCCAGGTTCCGTTTGGGTGCCAGGAAGCACTGTGTGGAATGGGCTTCCCCAGGAGGTGGCCGAGGCCCCATCGGTGAGGGTGTTTAAGGATAGGCTGGACGTGCACATGGTGGGCATGTGGTGAGCAGAGCCGGCTGGAGTCAGGGGTCAGACTAGATGGCCCGGGAGACCCCTTCTGACTCGCTCTGTTTCTGTTTCTATATTATGCTGAAAATATACCATGGGTGCCAAGAAATGTATACACATTTTAAGAGATGTTATCTGTGTATTACTTTTCGAAGTTGAATTGAATTAGGATGGCAATGTGTAATATGATGTTCACTCAAAAATGAAGTTAATCAAATAAATGCTAAGAAAATGGCAGAAGCATGGTTGTCATCTGAGGAGCACAAGACCATTTGATGTGGTACTTGGAATTTGAGAACGTTGTGGAAGTATGGTGGAGGCATGAGTATGCAAGAGAACCTCCAACACACCTAACAATCCCACACGTCTGAGATAAATTCGAGACACATGGAACTGTGTGCGATGTGCACAAGGGAAGATCCAGCACAGCAACAAGTTTGTCATAACCAGACGTGTCTGGATGCTGATGGTAACCACTCTGAACACCTCTTGTAATTCCAGGAGCCAAATGTGACTGGTATTCATCTTTTGTTATCAGTATATATTGAGTATTACAATTTTAATAGTTTTTTTCCCTTTCTTAAAATTTGTATACATTTTGGCACCCTCTGTATATGCAGGCAGGCCAGAATCTAGCAGTGAATGCCCTTAGCAGTATAGCTACATGACTTAGGGCTATTTATTTTGGTCTCTAGGGGGGCAGCCTGGAGACCAGCATCAATCTGCTCAACAGCAATGGACACAGCCCGGGGTACCAGGGCTGCTCAGCAGCAGGGGTATCCCTGGCATCTTTTGCCATCAGCTGCTTCCTAGTAAGGGTGCCTGCAGTTGCAAGCAGTTGTGGAAACTGGATGGCCCAAGGGGAAAGCAGCCTGTTGAGACAGACCGTCCTCTGCCCAGCTACAGGCTGTCTATGCTTGAGGGTGTCCCAGGCAGGAGGTCACACCTGGAGATGCTGCTAGGAACCAAATGGGGGACCAAGCCCGGCATGCTGGCAGGGGACCTTGGGTTGTGCTTTATTCCTGGCCAGTAGATGCGTGGTGCAGCAGAGGCTTGTCTGCACTGACTGGCATCCCCACTGGCAGGCAGCCTTCTCAGCCTTGTTGGAAGGAAGGTGGAAGCCGGAACCAACCCGTTGCTTATCTTAGCAAAGCTCAGAGAAACACAGCCATTGTTTCAGAAATCAAAGGGGTTAGATTTGCTTATGGTGCCATAAAGATGGAGGCAAAACTCAACTTTGAAGTGATTTCTCTTCTGCATGTCTTCACCACCGCAATCTCCCCAAAGGTTCCACTGTTGGAGTTTCTGTGCACCTGCTGCCCTGGGAGGTTGAGCTAAGGAAGCAGGAGAAGGAGCAGCTGCCCCTACATTCTGAGAACCATGCCTCCTCCGAGAGCCTTTCTTAGAGCTGCACATTAAGGCTGAAGCAGCTGTTTCTGAGCCGGAGGGAAGCACGGATTTGGACAGTCTGGTCAGATAATGGAAAACTGAGTGTCTGCTGATGCAGCTTGCTTACATGACAGCATGTTCTCCAGAGCAATTTGCCAGAGGTCGGAGAGGGCCTTGTTTACCCTGCAATAGCTTTGGGGGTGTTTATACTCCCCCAATGTTTACATACAAGCTGCAAAGAAGACAAATCACAGCAAAAGTATCTTTTTGCTCAGTTAGGTTTCTGAATCTTGTTCTTAAAACTGGCAATCTTCCCCAGTTTTAGGGTCTCTGAATATGTTGCCCTGCAACCCCCATTATTCTAATCTGGGAATGATGGGACTTGCAGTCACTCTCATCCAGAAGCCCCAAGGTTCAGGGTGGCTGTCCTGTAGAGGAAGTATGCAATGATTTGGGGACAACTTTATGTGAAGTACCTGTGAAAGTCAAAAGTTGGGACACATAAATGATGAGTAACTAATACCAGGGGATTGTTCCCTCAAGTTGCCTGCATGCTGCGACCTGGAGAATTTCGACCCCAGGATGGTGCTTTCAGCCCCTAAGAGAGGCCGCTTCCCCCGTCCTGGGTTTGTCCCATCCGGTAACCAAGCAAGGAAAACAAATCCGTGTTGGCCTGCTGCCACTCATGCAGGGCCCTGACACTTTCTGATTCAATCTGCAACATCAGGTGAGGCCTCAGAGGAGCCACGACAGTCTTCTCCTCCAGCCCCAGCATGCTGAGTTGCACGGTGTCAAGCCACAGCCAGTTTGATCTGGCGATCCTGAACAGAGAAGTCCCTCCTTCCATCAGCACAGCAGAGGAGAAGATACACCCAGGGCCCTCCCGGTCATCCCTGCTAGTGCTGAGCCCAGGGAACTGTGGTGGTGCAGCCACCAGCATCATGGGTGTGAGTGGCAAAGGGCTGTGCTGGCCAGCTCCCCTTCCACCCTGGTGCATCTGAGAGTTCACTGGGCCCTCTTGGCCTTTCCACTCCTCTCTGGGGAAGGATGGAGCTCGTCCCTCATCCCCAAGGCAGGATGGGCCTCTGCCCTCGGTCACGCCAGCTCCAAACTGGGAAAGTCGCTCCTCTCTGTGGAAGCAGCGAGCATGCAGGGCTCCCCTCTGCTCAGCCCTGGGCTCTGCCGCTACTTCTTGGCCGCTGCCAGGCCATCCCCAGCTGGAATCGCCTCCGGCTCCCACAGCAGGAATTCATGCAGGAGCGTGTTGACCGTCTCCGGGCACTCCAGCATCACCATGTGGCTGCCCTCATCAATCACCTTCAGGGATGCGATGAGCAGGATCTGAGGGCAAACCAAGCAAGACACACTCAGGAGCAGCCCTCCCTCCCGTGGGCTGCAGGGTTCCCTCTCCTCACCCAATTAAACCGCCCCCTTGGCATTACGCCCTTCTAGTGAGGAAAGGGGTCCCAGGATCCTAACTGATTTCCATCAGTGCCCTTCCCAGCAGTTCCCAGTTTATGGGAGTTTATAGATCTGGATGCCACATGGTCTTGGCCACCATAGAAACATAGGAACAGAGTGAGTCAGAAGGGGCCTCCCGGGCCATCTAGTCTGATCTCTGGCACCAGCCAGCTCCACTCACGACATGCCCACCATGTGGACGTCCAGCCTGTCTTTGAACACACTAACCGATGGGGCCTCAACCACCTCCCGGGGAAGCCCATTCCACACCCTCAGGGTCCCGACTGTCAGGAAGTGCTTCCTGGCGTCTAAATGGAACCTGGGTTCCCTGAGCTTGGCTCCCTTGGAGCGCGTCCTGCCCTCCTCTGCAGGGGAGAGCAGGTCTCTACCCACCTCTGCGTGACACCCCCTCACATACCTGCATGTCGCCAACAGACCCCCTCTGAGTCTCCTCTTCTCCGGGCTGAAGAGACCCAGTTCCCTCAGTCTCGCCTCATACGGCATCCCCTGCAAACCGGCCACCAACCTTGTGGCCCTGCGCTGCACTGGCTCCAACCTGGCCATATCCTTCCTGTAATGAGGGGCCCAAAACTGCGCACAATACTCCAGTTGCGGGCGCACCAGAGTCGTATAGAGTGGCAGTAATACCCCTCTCGATCTAGAAGCCACACTTCTGGCCATGCAACCAAGGGTGGCGTTCGCCCTCTTGGCCACCGCATCACACGGCTGGCTCATGTTCAGCCTGCAGTCGACCAGCACCCCGAGGTCCCTTTCACAAGCGCTGCTCTCCAGTCACTTGTCCCCTAACCTGCACTTATGACACCTATTCCTATGCCCCAAGTGCAAGACCTTGCACTTATCCACATTGAACGCCATCCTGTTGTCTCCTGCCCACTTCCATAGTCTGTCCAGATCCTTTTGGATCTGGAGTACCTGCTCCTCAGTTGTGGCCACTGCTCCAGTTTTAGTATCATCTGTGAATTTGATCAGCAGACTGCTCACCCCTTCTTCCATGTCGTTAATGAAAAGATTAAACTGGATCAGCCCCGGGACAGAGTCCTGGGGGACCCCGCTTGTCCCTGGCCGCCATCCCAATGATTCCCCACTAATGGTTACCCTCTGCTTTCGGTCATTCAACCATGCCCTAATCCACCAGACAGTGCTTTGGTGTATCCCAAAACTCCTCAGCTGCTCCACCAGGATATCATGGGGCACTTTGTCAAAGGCTTTGCTGAAATCCACTGCATCCCTTCCATCTAGCCATCTCGAAACCTTGTCATAGAATTCCACAAGGTTTGTCTGGCAGGACCCATTTTTGCAGAAGCCGTGTTGTGTGGCCGCCAGCCTCCCTTCCCTATCCAGCATCACTAGATCTCTCGCTATTATGAGCCTTTCCATTGTTTTTCCTACAATGGACTTAAGGTTAACAGGTCTGTAATTCCCCATTTCCCTTCTACTACCCTTTTTGAAAATTGGGACCACTGATGCCACCCTCCAGTCCTCTGGAACGTCACCCGTTCTCCACGAGGCCTCAAAAATGGAGGCCAACGGGCGTGAGGGAACCCCTGCCAACTCTCGAAGTACTCTCGGGTGTAACCCGTCAGGGCCTGGCGCCTTTGCAATGTCCAATGCCCTGAGGAGCCCCTCGAGTTCAAGGGGGGGTGACTTCTTGCGGAGAACCTCTTGTGGAGGACCTCTTGGCCACATGGAGGACCTCTAACGCAGGACCTCTTGCGGAGCACCTCTTGTGGCAGGTCCCCCCCGAAAGGCCATGGCTGCAGCTCAAGCGCACTGTTTCTGCCTTCCAGCATCCATTGCCCATGGCGAAGCAGTACCTCGGCCATCCGCTGGTCCTCCTCCACAGGGACAAGCTTGTCGTGCATTCCGTGCACGAGCAGGACAGGCACGGTGAGCTCCGCGTGGTAGACCTCATCACCCTCGGGCCAGTACTGGCCACTCATCATGGCCCGCAGGACGGAGGAGGAGACGTTGAAGGCGTTTCCTTCTTTCAGCAGCTGCTTCTCCTTGGAACCTTGGCGAGCAAAGCCAGCCCTGCAAGGGGGAAAGGGGCAGATGAGCTCAGGGGCCGTGCTGAGTTCTCCCCTAAGCTTGGGGCCCGGGCGTGTGCTGTGGCAAAGGGGATTTTGGCCTCTTTGCAGGCCACAGGGAAGCAGAAGAGATACAGATGTTCTAATTCTCACTCCTAAGAGTCGAGGCAGGTGGGGAGTGCCAACGGGAGGGTGGATGAAGAGAGGGCGGGAATGCTCACCTTGATGAATCCTGAGACTGTAGGGGAGCTCGTTCTGGGGACTCCAGACTTGCCAAAGCGGGAATGGCTTCCTTTTGGCAAGCTGATGTTTTGCATCGAGTCAGTGGTGCTCTCCATTGATCACTGGCAACTTCAGGTGGAAGCTGCCTCTGTCCCCACCCTGCTGCCCAAGCTCCTTTTAATGCTGGGGACTGAGCCTAGTGCTTTCTGCATGCAGCGCAGGGGCTTTGCTACTGAGCTATGGTTCCTCCTCCTAAAGATCAAGCAAGATTCTAGTCCTCATAGCTCTGAATCGAGTAGGAGTGCCCTCCCACCCTCTGCAATGCTTCCTTCTCTTCCACTGCCTGGGCAGGTGACTCACTTCAAGAAGCTCCAAGCCAGGCAGGGCGAGAGGCAGCGGAGGACGCAGGTGGGCATGTTGAAGATGGAGCAGAGGCTGGGCTCCAGGGCAGTGGGACCTCCCCCGTTGATCATGATGACCTTGTGGACCAGGTCAGGGTACTCGTGAGCCAGGAAGGTGCAGAAGGATACCCTGTGTGGAAGAGGAGGAAAGGGGTGAGGCAGCTGGGCCAGAAGGACCACTGGAATCTGGACTGGCAGGCGAGGGGTCCTGACTTGTGGCCCCTCAGCCCCGGTGCTGCAAGGCCTGGAGCTGGCCCATGGCTTGCCTGGCACCGCAAGCTTTGCCCCTCCAGGAGAGATCTGCCAGCACTTGCTCATTCTCTCAAGGTGACATCAGCACGCCGGCGTCTCCTCCCCCATCTCTGCCCCGCCAGGCCATGTCCCCCCACTGAAAATCCCTCGCAGTAAACCCAGCCTGGACACAATGCCACGTGCCTTGTGCGTGAGCTTGTGGACCGGCACACACTTTTGTCTGCACCAGAAAGGCATGCAGAGGATTCAGCCTCTGCTGTTGCATTGCTGGATGCAGCGTGGCCCTTCTTTGCAGAGAGCTGGCTTGGGACCAGGACCGAGGCTTGTTGGGCCCAGTGCTCCGTGAGCCTCTCTGGGTGCCTCTGAATGATGGTTTGGACTGAACCTCCCTCGTGAGGAAGGAAAGGAGTAGGAAGGGAGGAATGGTGCACGTCTACCTGAGCTCCCCTGCAAGGGCAGGTAACGCTGCAGTAATTAAAACCAGAAGGGGCAAATGTTTTGGCTAAGCTGCCTATGCTCACATGGCTTTACTCTTTGCTGCCAAGCTGTTTTCATTCCTTGTATCTTTTCTGTGTGTGTGCACCTCTCAGAGAGTTCCCGTGATTGGTTGTTCTGAAATTAAAAGACACCAGACCAGACCAGTCTCTCTCTAACTTGCACACAGCTGCATCCTGGCTCCCTTTCGTGGTGCTTTTTCAGGCTATGCAAATGCAGGCATGAGGAATGTGGAAGCACATGAAGACGCCAATGGGGGGGAAGAACAAGTGGCAATCCTTCTCCAAAACCCCTATGCCCAGCCCTCCCCGATCACATGCTCTCCAGCTGTCCTGGGCTGCAACCCCCATCATGGCCACTGATGGGAATGATGGGGGAGGGGGGTGATGCACATCTGGACCGCACCAGTTGGGGAACAGACCCAGGAAACCCTGCCCCTCACATTGGCCTTCACTCTTACCCATAGGAGTGTCCAATGAGGACGTTCCTCTTCTTGGCATACCGTTTGAACACGGTGCGCATGTCTTCCGCGAGGGCGTAGAATGTGTACGCGGCGGCAATCCGCGGGGCCGAGCTCGCCCCATGCCCAGCGAGGTCTGGGGCCACCACCTCGTAGCCCAGCCTGCTGAAGAAGTCCAGCTGCTCCTTCCAGATGTCCAGCGCGCCCCCCACACCGTGGATGAAGAAGAGCACCACGTCGCTGTGGCTCCCTTTGCAGCTGCTGATGAACTTGGTGCAGTCGATGTCGATCAGCTTCTTGGGCTTGTGCCGGCGCCGCTTGACGGCGGGGGCGGCGGGGCTGGCGGGGGGGCCGGGATGGGGGTCAGAGACCTCGAGCTCCACAGTGCTGCTGGGCTCCACGCCCTCGGGACAGGCCAGGATGTCGGCGCGCACGGAGTCGCCCAGGTTCTCAATGACCACCTGCCCGTTGCGGTACACGGTGATCCGGCGCCTGCAGTGGACGGCGCCCGCCTTTTGGGCCGCCTCCTCGGCCCCTGCTGGCCGGGCAGGTGCGATGTGCCTCACCCGCAGGACTCTCCCGGGCTTCACCTCCACGAAGCTGAACCCATCGCCCGACTCGCCGCTCTCCAGGGGGCCCACCGCGTTGGGCGTCTTGCCCATCAGGCAGCAGAGGAGCCCGTCGGCAATGCTGGTCAGCATGGCGGCTCCTGCGGCAGGGCACACGGAGGCAGAGGCGCCCATCAGCTCAGGGCACCCAGGCCAGCGGAGGGCCCCATCCTGAGAGAAATGGTGGTGCGTCCAACCCTCTTGTAAGGGGCTTGCTCCTGCCCTTCTCCCCCCCCCCGCCTAAAGAGTCCCCTGGCAAGTGAGAGCAGGGCAGCTTCCCCCAAGCCACGGCTCAGTCACTTGGCCAGCACCTCCGTGCACCTGTGCTTGTGCACCGGTGCATGAGAATGTGTGCACACGGGCAGCGCACCCATCTTTTCCTCCCCATCACTCCATGTCCAGAAAATAATCCATGTCACTAGCTAAGTTGCAGCACATGGGATCTGAGGCTGGTTCCCCTGTGGAATGGCAGCCTCAGTCTGTCTATCTGTCTGTCTTTAAACCATTTCTACCCTGTCCTTTACTGAGGTCTGAGGATGAGAGTACAATAAAGAGCAGTATCAAATAAATAACCAGATAAAACCCATATTAAAACCACATCAACTCTTAAAATATTGGGAAAATAGAAAGCTCTTGGCCTGGCACCAAAATAAGTGAAGTGTTGTTGCCAGGTGCACCCCCTGGGGAGCATAATCCAAAGCTGAGGTGCCACCACAGAGCAGGCCCTTCCCTTAGTAGCCACACTTCTAATCTCCTTCAAAGAGGGCTCCCGAAGAAGGACCTCCAACCCAGATCTTAAGGGGAGGTCAACTATATATGGAAGGATACATTCCTTCAGATACCTAGTTCCTAAATAGTTTAGGGCTTTATAGGTAATCATGAACATCTTAAATTGGGTATTAATCACCTTAATCAACATGCTCATGGCCTGCTCCACACAGACCAGAGGAAATTAGGGAGACATCTGGTGGACTTTAGCAAGCAGCTTCACTGATGTGAGAACAAGGAACTGTACAAATGCACACTTCACCGTACTTTCCCTCTCTTCCTGTCTGGGCACATCTCTGTGCACTTCCGGGAAAAGCGGATGCACCGCACCCACAACGTCAATCCTTCCCCGCCTTTGCTCCTGGATGCTTGATATATGCCAAGAATACTCAGCACTTCGCAGATTCTATGGACTATCACTCCTCAGCAGCAGTCATTATAACCAAGGCTGAGTGGGTCATGGAAGCTGTAATCCCAGGCATCTGGAGGGTACCGAATTGTGTACCCTCACTGTTAAAGGGAGTGCAAAGATGTCTGTGCTCTCTGCCACACTCACCTGTAGTGCAAGAAAAGGAAAGACACTAACTTAACAACATTCTATAACAACATCCTGGAAGGTCGTGGTCCTCCATAAGCAAGTTTTGGTGTCTATTTAGTTTTTCCTTCAATTTACATTCTCACACACTTCTGCACGCCCCTGTGGCACTTCAGGTACACAGGATCCACATTTTCAAGGTTTCCTCTTTGCTTGCAAAGTGATCCAAGGTGGAGTTTGTTGCTGGTAACTACAAAGAGGAGGTGGCTGGGAACTATCACCTCCTAACAGGAGCACTTCGTCCTACAGACCTCCTTTTACTCCAGGCCCCACTTTCTCCTTTTGCACCCCCTGCTGAAGGCCAGAGGCCCTCCTGGAAGGAAGGCCTGGAGGCAGGAACACCTCAGCTGCATTGAAATCAAAGGGATTTCCCTCCCCTGTGCAAACACTCCTTTGAATAGAAATAGAGAAGCAGAGCGAGTCAGAAGGGGTCTCCCGGGCCATCTAGTCTGACCCCCGGCTCCAGCTGGCTCCGCTCATGACATGCCCACCATGTGCACGTCCAGCCTGTCCTTGAACACCCACACCGATGGGGCCTCAACCACCTCCCGGGGAAGCCCATTCCACACCCTCGGGGTCCCGACTGCCAGGAAGTGCTTCCTGGCACCCAAACGGAACCTGGGTTCCCTGAGCTTTGCTCCGTTGGAGCGCGTCCTGCCTTCCTCTGCAGGGGAGAACAGGTCTCTCCCCACCTCCATGTGACACCCCCTCACATACCTGCATGTCGCCAACTGATCCCCTCTGAGTCTCCTCTTCTCCAGGCTGAAGAGACCCAGTTCCCTCAGTCTCGCCTCATACGGCATCCCCTGCAAACCGGCCACCAACCTTGTGGCTCTGCCCTGCACTGACTCCAACCTTTCTGTAACGAGGGGCCCAAAACTGAGCACAAGACTCCAGTTGCGGGCGCACCAGAGTCGTGTAGAGTGGTAGCAATACCCCTCTCGATCTAGAAGCCACACTTCTGGCTGTGCAACCAAGGGTGGCGTTCACCCTCTTGGCCACCGCATCACACTGCTGACCCATGTTTAGCCTGCAGTCGACCAGCACCCCGAGGTCCCTTTCACAAGCGCTGCTCTCCAGCCACTTATCACCTGACCTGTACTTATGACACCCATTCCTGTGCCCCAAGTGCAAGACCTTGCACTTATCCACACTGAACGCCATCCTGTTGTCTCCTGTCCACTTCCATAGTCTGTCCAGATCCTTCTGGATCTGGAGTACCTGCTCCTCAGTTGTGGCCACTGCTCCAGTTTTAGTATCATCTGCGAATTTGATCAGCAGACTGTTCACCCCTTCTTCCATGTTGTTAATGAAAAGATTAAACAGGATCGGCCCCAGGACAGAGCCCTGGGGGACCCCGCTTGTCCCTGGCTGCCATCCCAATTATTCCCCGCTAATGGTTACCTTCTGCTTTCGGTCAGTCAACCATGCCCTAATCCACCGGAAAGTGCTTTGGTGTGTCCCAAAACTCCTCAGTTTCTCCACCAGGATATCATGGGGAACTTTGTCAAAGGCCTTGCTGAAATCCAGGTAAACCACATCCACTGCATCCCCTCCATCCAGCCACCTCGAAACCTTGTCATAGAATTCCACAAGATTTATCTGGCAGGACCTGTGTGGCTGCCAGCCTCCCTTCCCTATCCAGCATCACTAGATCTCTCTCTATTATGAGCCTTTCTATTGTTTTTCCTACAATGGATGTAAGGCTAACTGGTCTGTAATTCCCCATGTCCCTTCTACTGCCCTTTTTTGAAAATTGGGACCACTGATGCCACCCTCCAGTCCTCTGGAACTTCACCCGTTCTCCACGAGGCCTCAAACATGGAGGCCAGCAGGCGTGAGAGAACCCCTGCCAACTCTCTAAATACTCTCAGGTGTAACCCGCCTGAGGAGCCCCTTGACTTCAAGGGGGGTGACTCTAATCTGTGCCCCTAAGTCCCCAGCCTCATCTAATCTCCTATGCGGAGCTCCCCCGTCCTGCTTTGGGGAGAACACAGGGGCAAAATAGTTATTTAGTATCAGTCACTGGATCTCCTTCCTCCTTATTTAGTGGTCCCACCACTTGTCTCCCCTTTCTCTTCCTGAAAGAAAGCCCCCCCTCCCTTTTTTTTTTTTTTTTGCTGAAAGCAGCCCTTTTTGTTGCTTTTGATATTCTTGGCAAGTCTCAGCTCATATGCAGCCTTAGCCTTGTGAAGAATCCTTCTGCGATGGGCCTCCTCCTCCCGGTTCTATTTGCCCCAGTACCCATTTCCTACGGAGGTTCCTCTTTGGTCTAATCCCTCTAACCACCTCCTTTCGCATCCATGGCGGCGCTCTCCTCCGCCTCCCCACCTTACCGACTACAGGTATCGTCAAGGCTTGCGCCTCCAAAACCTCCCTTTTGAGTGCCAGCCACCCCTCCGCAACTCGCTTGCCTTCCAGTAATCCATCCCAGGAGACTTTCCCCAGTCTGGCCTTCAGTTGGCCAAAGTCGGCCCTCTTGAAGTCCCAGCTTCTAGTGCTTGACCTGCTGCACATCCGCAGTCCCCTGATCTCAAAGCAAAGGATGGAGTGATCACTCGCATCCAGAGCTCCCCTAATCTGTACTTCATCTATCAGCTCCTCCCTATTGGTCAAGACCAAGTCAAGGATGTTTCCCCCCCCTCGTCGCCTCTCAGACCCTCTGTGCGAGAAACCCTCCCTCTATAGCCTCTATGAAGCGATGCGACCTGGCTGTCACCGCCAAGTGAGTCTCCCAACTAATATCTGGGAGATTGAAATCTCCCATAATTACTGTGTCTCCAAGATATCCTTAGAATCTGGCCTGTCAGGACATCATCCAGGGTCTCAAGGTGACCTGGAGGGCGATAACATACCCCCACTGTCAGGTCTCTTTCCCTGTCAAAACCCCTGAGTTTCGCCCAGACTGCCTCTGCCGAATCCCCACCTGTGCTGCATTCTGTCCCACTGCATCCGATCCCTTCCCTGACCTATCAAGCCATCCCCCCACCCCCTTTCCCTTCCTGTCCTTTCTAAAAGGGTGATACCCTTCTGTGTTCACATTCCAGACTTGCCTTTCATCCCACCAGATTTCCGTGATCCCCACCAGGTCAGACCCTCCCATTCCCAGGAGAGCTTCCAGCTCTTCCTGCTTGTTACCCATGCTCCTGGCATTGGTGTACATGCACCTCAACTCCTTCCCATGGCTTCCTTTCCTTGGAGTCCCCAGCCTCCTCCTTCCTCCCATCCTCCCTGATACCAGCCCCCTCTTCTGTCAGTCCCTGCAGTACCTCTAAAACCAGCTCCCAGATCCTCTCCCCACACTTGTCCAGTGCAGACACATTTCTGGGGGGCCTGTACCCACCCCCTCCATGGCTCAGTTTAAAGTCTTCCGGACCAAGCTCGCTAGAGCATCTCCAAAGGACCTTTTCCCCGTCCTTGGGAGGTGCAACCCGTCCCTGGCCAGAAGTCCATTGGCAAGAAACCGGGTGCCGTGGCCGAGGAACCCGAAGCGTTCCTTCTGGCACTGCACCCTAAGCCAGTCGTTCCCCTTGGCGACCCTCCTGTCCCTTCCTGGCCCAAATCCCTGGACAGGTAAGATTGACGAGAAGGCCACTTGGGCCTTCAACTCCTGGAGTTCCTTCCCCAAGGCCTCAAAGTCCCTGGTGGTCCCAACCAGACCCTGCCTGGCCACGTCGTTTGTGCCCACATGGATCACCAGGAGCGGCTGGCGACCCCCGGAGCGAACAAG